TAAGTACTATTGACATATATCTTTATAAAATTGAAAATATAAATTACATAACTTCATTGATTCAATATTAATTAAATATTTTTAAAATTGATAAAGTAACGAGCAAAATTTTGCGTTACTGTTACTCAAAAAATAGAAACGCAAATCCTTACCTTTTAAAACAAATAGCCAATGACGTTCCTTTTCCTCACAAAGTAACATCGTTAGCTACTTTCATCGTGGTTGCTTTACAGCATTAGTTATTGACAAGCGGGGAACTCTTGTCTGAGAATGTACTCGCTAGTAGTCTGTCTTGTCTTCGGTAGTATGATAATAATATTTTAGAAATGAATAAAGTCTTATTAAATAACAAATTTATAATTTAAAATTAACAGATTCTATTTCATAATATAAGATCTCAATTATATAATATAAGATCTCAATTATATAATATAAGATCTCAATTATATAATATAAGATCTCAATTATATAATATAAGATCTCAATTATATAAATATTTATCATAACGTTTTCTATAAAAATTAATATAATGTAAAAGTTTAATTTAATATATCACAAGATTGCCTTAAACCATCATTATCTAAAATGAAAAAGTATATTAACACAATCAAAAATAAATCGTTACGAATATGTAACAGAAATGATATTATATAATTTTTATTAATAATAACTCATTATTTTTTTTAAAATAAGTTCAAAATATCATTTAACCTATATCTATTTGGCTTATTTATTAAATTGATATTTATGCTGGAGAAAAGGGTAGCAAAGTAGAATTATATTAAAAAATAATTTTAAAATTATATAAACTATATATCTTTGCTCTCTTTAAATAATTTAATACTTTTAACTACATTTTTAGACGTATTAACATTTTATAGAACTTTAATAATCGTCTTCCTCAACATAAGAGGATAAAATATTTGCCTGGTTCATTATATCATTTTTTTTGAGTTAAGAGGGCTTCATCTTAAAGCATATGATAATATTATTTCTCAATACTTGCTATAATCATATTTTTAAATTAGTGTTTTAGGGGAGTTGGAAACGGATTTGATGTTAATATTTTGCTCGGGTCATAAATTTAATATTAAATAAATATATTGTGGATACACATCTAAAATCCAATTATTAATAAAATTTGTAGTCATCTGAAATCGTAATATTAACAAAATACTTTTTATCTTATAGTATTTAAAATTCTATGCCCAACTCTGCTTATATATTGTTTATTGCTGTGTGATTTATTTTAAAAGGCTTATTTAATTTTTTTCCTTTTTAGCTTTCACCTTTTCGGGTGGTAAGCTCCTTCAATATCTTTGTCTTTCCATTTTATTATTCATACTAGGGGTGTACCGATACCACTTTTTGGAGGCCGATCTATTCCCGATATTAAATTGATATCGGCCGGTTACCGATCTGATATCATATCGAATTTTGTATTCTGTAAAGTACCAATGGTTTTAATTTTTAATATATTTTTTATTAGTATAACATCTATTACCTATACCATAACTTATATCATTTAAATATATTATAATGCAGTTATAGTTTATATTCAATTCAATTGCAATTCTAAAAGCATATAAAATATTTTTATTGTTAAATTACTTTTATATAATAAATAATAACATTAATCTATATACATAATAAGTAATAGACAAATATATTATGATATTTGAAATAAATATTTTAAATAATATTTAACATTAATATATTAAAGATTTCTTTTTAGAAATACCTAAATTTTTAAATTTAACAGAGGTCAACCTGCGGCGATGGTAACTGTCAATATCACCAGCTTCACTAAAAACAAATTCTGAAGAGATTATCGCACACTTTTATAAACGGAATGCGTAAAAAAAATAACAATATGACAGAATGTTTGTTTAAACATAAAAATGGATTTCGATTTTATTTATAAAAATAAATGATTTTAGATATAATTTTTTTTAAAAATTTATAATATTTTATTTTTGTTAAAAACGCCATTTTTAATCGTATTGGAAAATTTTTATAATATTGGCCGATAACCGATGTTTTAAAATGGGTAAAATATCGACCCGATCCGATAAAAATATCAGTACATCCCTAATTCATACAATCAATTTTATTCTTATATTTAGTGATATTGGCTTTAACTTTGTGGGCCTATTAGAGTTTTAGCCGCACTCTCTTTCGTTTATATCATTTGGGTAATTCAATGACAAATTGACCAAAATAACATGATTTTCGGACGACCATTTTTTAAATGGATGAAACTTGGCATAAAGGTTATATAAATATCAAATTTTTAATACCCTAGCTCAAATATATCCCGAGTTATGGGTCTACAAAGTTCGATGAGAGCCTTTTCCTCTTATAACGAATCTTAAAATACTCAAAATATAATTGGTCTAGAGTAACAGATTTTATATCATTTTGTAGCCAATAAAATTATCCTTAAGAAAATGCAAAAATTAAAAATTCTTCACTTTCTTTGTATTTACGTTAAGTCAAAAAATAATTATTTTGAAAAGGTAATATTAATGGACAGTGACAAAGCCCTTGAAATTTTCTACAAAATAATCTTTATAAAATGTTTTAAAAAAAACTAATCTGACTTCGTTAAAAAAACGGTTGGTATAACTTTCATATAAAAACCTTTCATATAAATAATTGCGACTTTATATGGTTAATGAGTAAATGTATGGAAATATTCTAAATACCAACCTAATTTGCTAAATACCGACCAAAATATTAAAATGTAATAAAACTCTTATTATTTAATATATTAATACGGAATCACGTGGTCGAGTCCGGCCTCCTATATATTATCCCCCCCAAGGATGGAACCACCAAGTTAGAATTTTATAACCAATGGGTATAAAGTCGCAATTATCACAACCAATCATAAAAAAAGTCGCAATTATTCTCAGTCGCAATTTTTTATATGAAAGGTTTTTATATGAAAGTTAGGGAAACGAAAAAAAACTAATGACTTCGTTAAAAAAAATTAATATAATTTTTATAACGTTGAAAAATTTACTATTATTACTACATTAAAAAACATGAGGGAAGCAAATTTAATATTACTTTATTTTTAATAAATAAAGAGAAAATTATGCGAATGTATTGTGTAATTTTACCTTTAAAAAAAAGCATTGGAGAGCAAATAAAAAAATTATTTTTTTCCTTACATTTTTTAAATAAAAATTTTTTCCTCTTTTAAAATCAATAATTAATACTTATGTTTAATAATTGTAATTATATTATTGAAAATAAATTAAGATTATCAGAGTTCTATAAAAATTATCTATATCGATATACTATTTAAGAGGTAGCTGTATCTGTTTATAGATACTTTTTAAGATACATTATGATATACTTTTATTTAAAGCTTTTTTTATCTAAAAAATAAAAATATTTAAGTGAAAATTTTATCTCATATGTAGGAGCATATAATTTAAATAAATATATATTATAAAATGAAAATATATATAATATTAAAATTATATAAAAAAAGATATAGCTATAGATATCAGCTTAAGATTGTGAAGAATATTTTTATCATGCAAAGAAATTTATAAATCCTTGCTTAACCATGATTCCCCTTAATTATAAACAATATTGATGCACAAAATTATTTTAAGCAAGTAAATTTATTTAAAATTTTGTAAGATAATTTTATATTCCGCTAAAATTTAATGATTAAATTATAAGTTTAATGTAAAATAATTTTTTTTTAAATTTTAAATCTATTTTAGATTTCGATTTAAACTTATTAAAAAATTTAAAATCTAGCATTAAATTTTATTATTCATTACTTGATCATTATAGACATTTACTCATTTATATATTTTAATTTTTTATGGTTTTTTTAAAATAAACATAAAATTTTGATTGCTTCTCTTAATAAACTTGACGCTCTTCGTCACTGTTAATGGAAAAAAACAAAAATTTAATTTTTTAGTTTTTAGAATTTATAGAATAAATAAATCCATTATAGAGGGCGGTATTTTTAAAATTAATTATAATATATTTTATAAATAAAAAATACATTTTATATTCAACCATTAATATTTCTATAAAATTATAATATGCACTAGAAATATTTTGAGAATATATATTTTTTTACCCCAATAAAATGACACTGTAGTATAATTATCTTTGTAGATAGCGCCCTCTAATGTTGCTTATAAAAACTAAATAAAATTTTAATTTCTCAATTAATATTTTTTACTTAAATATTTAAATATATTGGTAATAAACATATATGATGAGTTTCATCGTTTCAAAATCCCTTTATAATGGATTTTTCTATTCTTAAAATTAAAAAAAACTAAATTTTATTTAAATTTTAATTTTCCATATTAATATTTTTACTTAAATATTTAAATATATTGGTAATACATTTCTTGAATTCCAAAATTTTAAGTAGGGTACTTTTCAAAATAATTTTTTTTGTTGAAGTTATTTTTAAGATAATTTTTTAAGGAAAATTTTAAAGGCTACAAAATGATATAAAATTTGTTACTTTAGACATATTTTAAGTATTTTAAGATTCGTTGAAAGAGTAAAAGTCGTCGAATTTTGAAGGCTCATAACTCGGGATATATTTGATTTAGGGCATTAGAATTTGGATTTACATAAAATATACAATCTATTTAACTTTTTGCCAAGATTCATTCAATTTAATGATCGTTCGAATCACGGGTCGATTTATAATGGAATTACCCATTTTTAAACTCATAACCTTGTTTCCTATATAATTTTTAGGCCTATTAATTTATTTTGATTACTTGAACAGAGTTTGGAACCAGAACTTAGAACCATCGATCTCCAAAAATGTAGAATAGGCACCAGAACCCACTTTTCTAAAATTGTAGGAACCAAGACTCTTTTAAAAACATTCGTAACCAGAACCCTTTGTCGAGATTCCAAACTCCGTATTTTATCTTCAAATTAGACAATATCATGTTTCTAATATTTATTTTTCTATTATTAATCGTTACTTTAAGCAATATCGGACAATTACAATGATGAAGTGCTTAATAAAGTTGGCTTTGAATCCGTTATTTTGCCCGATATATACTCACAAACTCTTAATTGTTTAATTGAGTAAATTATATTTATATACTTCATTGATTATTTTTAAGGTAGATACTCTGCCCTATGAAATTTTTATATTTGAGACGGGCCGAGCGAGCAAAAAGTAGAGATGCCCAGCCCGTTTAAGAGAGAACAGAAAATTTTTTTCTTGAGCTGATTTTGTTAAAAGGACATATTTTTATTTTGCTTATAATTTTAATGATTAAATTATGACCTGCTACATTATTCATTCATAAATACGAGTTATTTTCCTAATTTTATGTTTGCTTTAATAAGAAAATCATAAAACCCAATTCCTCATCATTATTGTTTTTTTTTTGAAAAATCTGACTGGATTTTAAAAAAATCGGGCCGGGACTGGATTGTGAAAACCCTGGCTAATCGGCAACCTTAGTAAAAATTTGTAACCAGACCAGGTCTGAAAATTTTGCCATTTGCTGGCCTCTAATAAGTAATACTTTTTATCTAATAATCTCTTGAATATTTCCTAAATTATGATCCTTTTTGGAATTTTAACAGTATTTGAGAGTTTTTCATTATTTTTTACAAAAAAGGTCTCGTCCAAATGGCTTTCTTAGAGCACTACTAAATGCAAACACCAATTCCTCCACTAATAATATTAGCCAAACTAATAATGATTTTAAATCATCGGAAGTTTATGATGATATAGAATATGGTATTCCTCTATCCGCACTCCCACTGCTAACTTGTTCCCCTATCCTTTTAGGATATACATTTTACTTAAATAATATTATAAACCCGTGTTTGAAACTTATCTGTCAGGCATACGAAAGACATTTATTGGCTAACCCTTATTTTAATGGACAAGTAATTATTATTTTGAATATTTAAGGGGCACGATTTCTATTCTTTTTTTTCGTTTTATTTATTATCTTATGATATAATTTAGCTCTTATATATGTTTAGTATATTCTATAGTTATAATTATTTTTTATGTATTAAAATAATTTACTGATAAAATAAAGAATATTTGCCTACTATTTATACTACTATTCTGTTCATTTTAGCAATTTATAGTATCCATATTATTTTTTTAGTTAAACCCAAATATTAATTATAATATATCACTCGTTATTCATCAGGTTGTAATAGTTAGTGACATGGTAGGTTCCATTTTGATTTTTGATACCTTGATTAGCGTGTCTTCGGATATTCGTCAGACTTCCACAGGTTTATGCCCACCACACATCGATCATTTTTTCACATTTGGTTCACCTTTGGGACTAGTTCTCCTTCAAAGGCGTATCTATCGTGCTAATCAGACCAAATCTTTCGACCCTATGCATATCAAAAATGCCTATAACGATATGGATCACCTTTATAGAACCAATATTAATGATATTGAAAATAAAAACGATAAAATTAATACTAGAAATAATATAGATATTGACAACAATAAAAACCAAAATTGCGAAATGATAAGCGCTCTGGAAACTAACTTGTTTGATAGAAATGGATGGATGATTATCCCCCAATCATTGAGGAGCGTTGGGCAGCTTTACAACATATTTTACGAATCAGACCCTTATGCTTTTCGTCTCGAGCCTTTTATGTGTCCGGTCTTTGGATGTATTCCTCCGCACTGCGCGGATGACTTCAGTTTCTCATCAACGCCATCTTTGTTCAATATACTAAACGATCACGTAAACGAGTGCCAACTCTGTACACATTTTATTTTTATTTAACGTCATTTAGTGCGATTTGAGGATATAAACAAGGATTCCCATTCACAAAAAAAGTCCCGATCAAAAAAATCCTGATCAGAAAATTTGAAAGGTTTGACCAAAAAAGAAAAGACCCAATTAAAAATGAAAATTCTCATTAGGAAAATCTTTATTAATTATATTTTTGTATATTGGAAAAAATATTCCTGAATTTTTTTTTGGTATTGTTCTTTATTTTTTAATTTTTTTTCCTCTTTGTAGTATTTCTTTTTACATGTTATTTTCAAATTTGTAATATTTTTATCATCTTTTCTCAGTTTTCTTAATTATTTTTTCTCATTTTTGACTATTCCTTTTTTAAATATCTTATCTTAAAATTTTAACTCTCTCTCAAGAAAATATGAAACATGATTTTAATGATGAATATTGTCTCAGTTCATTTATGGGGTTTCTCACTAAAAATAAAAAATGTCCTGATCAAAAAAAGGAAAAGATTCATCACAAAAATCATGTTTATCATTTTATTTTATTGAAAATAAAATAAGTTAATATTTTAATTACAAAATTTTTAAAGTAAGAAATTATTTTTAAAAAAGTATAAAAAGAATAAAAAATGAGAAAAAATAAATTGATAAAAGTATAACAAAAATAGATTAAATTTAAAAATGAAATAAAAATAAAAAGAGATATCAAAAAGTTAGAATAAATGAGATAATTTAAAAATAAGCAAAAATAAAGAAAAATGCTGGCCCAAAATTAAAGAAAAATGCATGTCAAAAATATGAGATTGAAAATAAAATATACGAAAAATATAAAAAACGATTTTCCTATTTTGACTGAAAATTTTTTCTTGTGGGACTTTTCCTTTTTTTCGGACCTTTTCCTTTTTTTCGGACCTTTTCCTTTTTTGTTAAAGGCTTTTCATTTTTTTCCATTGAGACTTTTTTTTGGATCTTTTCCTTTTTGATTGAGATTTTTTTTGTTCAGGACTTTTCTTTTTCAATGGGAAACCTTGTAAATCTTGGGCTTAATAAAGCTTACAATTCAGTGATCATCTCTATAAAGCTTGCTTTTATACGCTCTCTTTTTTAAAAAATATTATTTAAATATTTTACCTAAAAACATATTAAATGTGATCTTGATTGAGATGGAAATATTTTGGAAATTTATTTTTCTGAGCTAGAAAACACTTTAAAGGTGTATTTTGATACTCTTAACTATATTTTAAAAACGTTCCAGAAATCAAAGCGATCACCTCTGTACCCATCTCCTTTAATTTGATTAAATTTGTACTAAGGTATGGTAGAGTTAAATTAAAATTGAAATATAGCTCTATAGCTATTATATTGCGAAGATATAAAGGGTGAATGCGGGTATTTAATAATGTTGGACGCAAAGTCTACCTGATTTGTTAATTGAATATATTACTTTTATTTTATATCATAATTTCCATTTCTAGACCATTTGTTTGTTTAACAACACTAGTTTTGTCGTTGTTCTTTGTCATCTTCTCGTTGTAGTTTTTGATAGGTTAATAACGTTTGGTCGTCGCATGTATTAATATCAATTTGTACATCACAATTTTGATTAGTTATTGTTATTATCATCAATTTTAATTTATATCACTTTATGAATGAATATTTAATTTCACAAGATATATTGATTTATTTAAAATATCATACTTCACATTTTATTATATTTCATTTTTATTATCATATTTTGTTTTGTTTAATATATACATTTTATTTTAAAATATCAAATATATAACTTTATTAATTTATCTCCTTTCTTTGAAAATCGTGTTCAAACTTTTTAAATTATATTTGAGGTGTAATAATTTGGTTTATAGGAATGATTTTTGTTTTGATATATCCCATATAAATATTTTGTTATTATCATAATTTTTTATCGTTATATTCAGTGGCGTCTCTGGCCTTTACAATTTCAGGGGGCTCAAAAATTATTATCTTTAAATTTCTGTTTTTTTTTGCTAATATTTTTGAAAATGACCTTCTTTTTATTAAGAGATTTTTAAAATATTTTTGGGGTTCTTCAAATTTTTCAGAGGGAATTAGCCCCCCTCCTTAGTGACGTTACTGGTTATATTGCCAATTTTTGGGCCGGGCTTTGCAGATCTCTAATACCAATATAAAAATTATTTAAAAAATATATCTGAAGAAATATTAAAACTTAAAAAATAGTATGAACTATCTATATTCTTCTTTCTATCTTGATTTAGATTTTTGTATCTTGCTAATAACTTCTTTATGCTATTTACCGAACATTTTATCATTAGACTGTATACAAGTTTAGCATTACATACTAGCTTTAGATTTAGCGCTTTTAAAAATTTGGCAAACATTATGCTTACAACTGAATCTTAATTACAGAATCAAATTTTGAAAATATAACTCGATTCAAAATATAATAATATGAGCCCTTTATTTATTAAATTAACCGAAAAGAACAAAAATAGAAGATTGTAGGATCATAAAATTCAAAAGTATCTTGAATCGGGGAAAAAAATGTTAATGTATTTAGATGTTTGAGTTGTAATTTAAAAATAAAAGACCCAGAGTAACCTTCACCATTAGTGTGAATTCGCGGCGAAGTATATAAAAATGCAACATATTTTGTAAACTAGACGGGAATTCGTGCTAACTGTGAATGCAGGGTAACCCCTCATTCAAGCTAACTATGGTTATAGTTTTTTTTCCTTATAACTGTTCTTTTAATTGATTGATGAATTAGCAATCTTTAATCAGGCATTACATATTGGCGCATCCAGATATCTACTTTAATTTTTTTCTGGCATGTTGCTGACAACTTCTTTTATTTTGTCAATAATGGTTTTTTCTTTAAAATATCTGCCAAACATAATGAGGCTCTAAAATTTACTAAATATGCACTAATTAATGATATAGATTTCACAGTTTATGCTTCTAGAAATTTGGCCCACTTCACGCTTATTCCTGCATTCATAGTTAGCGCTAATTCGCAGCGGAGTATACAAAATTTGATAGAAATATAATAATTTTATATAGAGGAAACCAGGGCTAGTCGGCGCAATTTTTGTCAAAATCATCATAGCTCCGAAAATAATGATCGTATAAGATCATACAAAATACCAATAGATACCTTAAACATTTACCTATAAATATATACTGTAATTTTTTCTTTAAAAGAGTTTTAGTAATCATTTTTGAACCTAGTAGCCCCGAACCCAAGGTTAGTCGATCATTGATGGGGCTATTCGAATCAAGTGGTTTATTAGGCTTCTTATGCAAAAAAAAAATTTCAGATTTTGATTATAACTATTATGCTTTATTTATATTATTTACAATTATATCGCCGGGGTGGCCTAATATGGGTTATGATGTATGCTTGGAAACAGAATGACGCAGAGGACGAAAGTTCAATCCTGGTAAGGAGCATAAAAATTTTCAGGTTTTTCTTCGATAACTGAGACATATGGTAAGATAAATTTCGGATATTAGAGATGACACCCCGGTCACCGACAGGCCTGGACAGCCGTGTGCTAAGGATACTGTCCAATAAACAAAATGAAGGAAACAAATGAAAATATGAATATGAAAGCTTGGGCATCCCTCCAAGCCACGCGCAGGGTGTAGACCTCCATCCTGTGAAAAGTAAAATAAAGGTCAAAGCAAAGAAGACGATTAGCAAGTTTGAATATTGGGACATTTAAAGGTAAAACGATAGAATTGGCATCAATGTTGAACAAGAGTAAAGTTGACATAGCGTGCATACAAGAGACGAAAAAGAAAGGTCAGAAGACTTTAATGATTGGAGATGGGTATAAATTGTACTATAATGGAATTCTTAGCAATAGGAACGGTGTCGGTATCATCCTCAGTCAACTAACCTCCTTAGTAGTAGAGGTCAACAGGATCTCTGATAGACTAATGAAGATAAAGCTCTGCATTGGTCAATCAATACTACACATCCTTTCAGTATATGCTCCTCAAACGGGTTGCAAGGAAGAAGAGAAAGAAGATTTTGGATGACCTAGTCATAATTGGTGGTGACTTAAATGCGCATGTGGGGAAAGAAAGAGATAGCTCAAAAGGCATCATGATGGTTTTGGATATGGAGAAAGAAATGATGGAGAGCTTATACTGAAATTTGCACAAGCCTTCGACCTTGCCTTAACCAATACCTACTATAGGAAAAAAGACAGTCATCTAATAACATATGAAAATGGTACAAGGAAAACACAGATAGATTACATGCTAATCTCTCGCAGAAGATTAAAAGATATAATAGGCTGCAAAGTCATCCCAGGAGAAGATATAGCCGCGCAACACAAGCTACTAGTCATGGATTTACACATCACAAATAAATCCACTCAAAACAAGATAAAACTGGAACCATGCTTCAAATGGGATAAATTAAAAACAATGACAGATGCCTTTGCAATCAATGCAAACATTGAAAAAATAGATTCCTCACAAGTCAGTGAAAAAATGTGGACAGACCTTTCATCCAGATTAATAGACACTGCCAAATCGACACTAGGCTTGACAAGGGGAGGTAACAAATCATATAAAGAACTAAGGTGGTGGAATGAAGAGATAACAGGAGAAAAAAGCCCTTTATAAAATATGGTACAAATCCCAAAACCCAGATGACAAGACAAGTTACAAAAAATCCAAGAGAACAGCTACAAAGGTGCTAGGGCCAAATCTATGGCATACGATGACATGTATGAAGAACTACATACCAAAGAAGGGCAAAATAAAATATACAGATTAGCCAAACAGCGAGGAAAGAATTCTAGGGATATAAACGGAGCTTTGAAAGTAATCAAAAATAAAGATAGGAAATTCATAATAAAGGAAAAAAAATAAAGAATAGATGGAAAAAATATTTTCATTAGCTTCTCAATCCCCACGTACTACATCTAGATGAACACTCCCCATGTCAAAACCTTGTACAACCAATAACAGAACAAGAAATAATCACATACCCAAGCATATGAAAAACAACAAAAGGGGTCCAGATGATATTCCAATAGAAAGCCTTAAAGCACTAGGAGATGATGGAATATATCTCCTCACAAATTTATACAATAAAATACTGGGAAATTACGAGATCCCTCAAAAATAGAGGCAGAGCTATCTAGTTCCTATCTTCAAAAATAAAGGGGATCCATACAATTGTTAATATTACAGGGACATAAAACTAATGTCACACTGTCTAAAACTATACGAAAAAATAATAGAAAAAAGATTAAGAGACATAATCGAAATAGGAGAGACTCAGTTTGGCTTTATGCCTGGAAGATCAACAACTGATGCTATCCACGCAATTAGGCAAATGAGTGAAAAATACAGGGAAAAGAACAAAAAGCTACACATGGTCTTTCTCGATCTAGAAAATGCCTTCGATAGAATCTCAAGAAAACTTATCTGGTGGGTGCTACGCCACAAAAAGGTTTTCGAAAAATATATAAGAATAATACAGGATAAGGTACTTCAGCAGGCTTCAAAGTAGCCGAAGGAGTTCATCAAGGGTCGGCTCTCAGCCCACTTCTCTTCATTACAGTAATAGATGTATTAGCACAGTCTATACCTCAAACAGTCCGGTGGAATATGATATTTGCAGATGATATTGTGATACTTGCCGAATCCAAGGATGAAATGAAAGATTAGTAAGTTGGATAAATATCCTAGAAAAGCATGGACTAAAACTAAATAGAGAAAAGACGGAGTATATGGTGATAGGAGGAGATGAAACAGAAAGTATTAATATAAATGAATGGCAGATATTGGCAATTGAAAGCTGCAAATTGGGCTCCACTATACAAACAAATGGCACAATAGAAAAAGAGATAAAGAGTAAAATTAATCAAGGGTAGTTAAAGTGGAGATCTTTATCTGGAGTGCTATTTGACAAAAAAATCCCACACAAATTAAAGGGAAAAATATACAGTTCCATAGTACAACCAACTATTTTATATAGTTAGGAAACATGGCCAACCAAGGAATCAGACGAGAGAAGTCTACAAACTATGGGGATGAAGGATGATTGCTGGAGTAACAAGAAAGGATAAAGTGCGCAGTACAAGAATATTAAGTAGTTTAAAGGTAGTGTCCATTAAGACTAAGTTAATGGTAAACAGACTTAGGTGGTATGGGCACATGAGAAGGCCTATGAACTACATAGGAAATAAAGTTGGGAGTTTGGAAGTGATGGGCAAACGTAAAAGAGAAGGGCCAAAACTTCAATGGGGCCATAAAGTTAGAGCCAATATAAAGAAGTATAAATTAGATAAAAGAGATTGTATGAATAACATAAAATGGAGACAGTAGTTGAAGGAGCTTACCACCAAAAAGGTGAAAGCTAAAATTTACAATTATAATAAATAAATTGAAACCAATCTTCTAAATTATGAAAATTTTTATATTCCTGTTTACATAAAATGCAAATCTCTTTTATTAATTTTTTAACAATGTTTTTTTTTGATTTTTTATTCTTCTCTTTTAATAGAAGTTCCCTCTTAAATGGGGATGAGGTAAAGATCTCAACCTTTTTTTCCTTGTTCCTTTAATTTGCGAATAGCGAGATGAGATTGGGATCGGGATAAATGATGGACCTGGTAGATTAATGTTTGAAGGGATAGGAATATCATTCAGTGAGGTGTTAGCAATAGAACTAAATGAGGGGCTAGGAACAGAAGGAAAAGTGTTGGGAAGAGAATTAATCAATGAGCTAGGAATAGACATAATTAAAGAATTTGAAAGAATATGTCAAAGGTTTTCTTCTTATATAAACGATCTATCATGATTTGATGAAGGAATAAAATCCCCTCCCGAATAATATTTTTTTATAGGAGTATATTCCACACGATTCAAATTTTTTTGGAATATTTTTTTAGGAGACTGCCAAAAGTAAATTATCCTTTATATAAAGGGAAAAGGAGATTCCACGGTGATTTCGCATCCACGAATCTATCCCATTATTATAAAAAAAATTTAAAGGCCCATATACTGTCTTGTCTAAAGGTTGCAATTTATGAGTAAAGTGTGGAGGAAGAGATAAAAGTATTATACCATTATCTCTATTGATGGGATATGTGATTCCAAAATTAGCAAAATTTTATATTTCTGACTGCATCTGGTATTAGAAACAATGTGACTTAAAAACATAATAAATTCATCCTCTTGCATCCACCCATCCGTTGGATGCGCCAATACATCCTTGAGAACCGTCTCTAATAAAACGATTTTACGTAGAAAAATAAACATGGGGGAATATAATTCCCTTAAGCGTTAACAGCCAGCGCCATTGTTACTAGAGTGCCTCGCTCTGCGGAATCTGACCCTTCTGCGCAACAATATTTGATGGGTTTTGCACAGTTGTCAAGCCCGTTTCGTCCATATTATAAATTGACATAGGTTTTAATTCATGTTGGTCTAGTATTCCCTTATATAGATTAAAAAAATATAGAACAGCCTTTTGATTTAAACAAGCAGCTCGAACTAAACTAGTAGCCTCTGGATATCTTAGAGATAATCTTAAATTTTTTCTCAATGAAGAAAACCATTCTTCTCCAGCCATTTTATTAAATTACATGATCTGGGTATTTTTTTAATTGAATTGCATGATAATAAGCTTGTATCTTTATCTAATGTATAAATAATAATATTATAAATTTTTTAATACCTTTTTAACAGATAAACCATAAAACATTTTACTACATGTAATAAGATATTCAACAATTTTATTTTCTTCATCATCAAAAATTTTTGTTTATTATTTTAATCTATCTTGGGCATAGTGCCAGCCATTTTATATTTTTTATTTTTTATAATACCTTAAAAAATTTGTTTTAGGTATACTTAATAAAATAAATAATAAATTTACTCAAAATTTATCTAATTCTATATTTAAATATATAACATCATTTGAACTTATTATCAGTTCAAAATTATATTCTGATAACTAAAATGTTCATACCCAATAAAATTTATTAATTTGAATCATATTTATCTCAATTATAATAGATTACATAAAAATATTTGTTTACTAGATATAATTCATTTTAAATAGTTGATCTATTATCAGGCTAAATTTTATATACTAAAAATGTATATTATATTTATGACAATATATATTATATTATCACAATATATATTATAATATCACAGTATATATTATATTAGCAATATATATGAAGATTTAGTTTGTAAGATATTCATTTAGATTTGATATATATTAAAATAAAATGTATTATGAAAAATTACATTAATAAATTTATATTATAATAATTATTTTTTATATTACATTTATAAAATATTATATTTTAACCTCTAATAGATGATACTTTTCTTGATGAGATATCATTTTCATACAGTTTTATGGCTTCTTCGTAATCATTTTTATTAAAAACCTTCCTATTTTGAATTTTCCGTATATATTTGCTTACCATAGTATTATAAAAATTGATTGATTGCGCCGACAAGCCACGATTTAGCTAACCTCAATAGTGGTAATAATACTAATTTTATCTTAACATATATTTAAGCATTAGATATCAATCTGAAACTTTTCCAGATATTAAAATAGATATTTAACTTTCATATATTGTCCATTTTGTCATGTTTAAACTTTTAATTTTTTAATACAACCTAATAATATTAAGTAAAAATATTCTAATTTTCACGTCAAAAACATGTCATAACAGATAAAAATTTAAATAGCTAAATATTATAAATTATTTTTATCCCCAAATATGGATATTATAGAATTCTATTTTAGAACAAAATTTCAATTTTTAATCATTACTAGTTTTAAAATAAAATTCTTTTGAACCGACAAGTCCCTTGCGCCGAATAGCCCTAGTCTCCTCTACTTCGTCACGAATCGCGCTAATTTTAAATGCAGGGTAAGGCGTAATAAGGTATTTGGTTTATAATTCGGAACTTTTTTGTGGTTGGGAAAATTGATTGAAGGATTAATAAGTAAATCACTCAATATTAACGCAAACCAGACATTTAATTCTTCTAAATTTTTCATTGTTAATTTGTTAATAACTTCTTTTTTCTCTACTGTCTTCGCCAGATATTAAATGGATTATAATAATATGTGATTAAGCACCAAGTTTTGATAAAATTTCAGAATAATGCCTCCAGTCGCCTTTTAGTCTTAAGACTGGCCAAAATTTTGTTGTCAATTATTTTCTCTATACTTAAGCACTCACCGGCACTAATAAAGCACGCATTGGCATAGATGCTAGAATTAATCCTTCCAATTGTTCTGCTAACTAACGGAAATGAGATAAAGGCTAAGTTGCATATTATTATTTAATTGTAATGAGAATTTGTCATAGGCAAACCCCGGCCGAAGGCCGGCCAAATAGAATTTGGGAGCTTCGCTCTCAATCCCTACTCTTCCCTTGGATAAATTTGGCTACATCACTGAGTAGATAGCAACGCGGTAACTTTTGCATATATATTTTGCTATTGCACAACTATACCAACAGGTGCAGAAATATATGTGCAATTTAATAGTATACCATTTATAAATTTTAATCCTAAAATTTTTATAGGTTAAAACTTATACCGAAATGCTTTTAATATTTATAGAGAAAAGTTATGGACTAGAAAACTTCTATTTAAATTTAAAATTCCATCTAAGATAAATGCGTTCAAACAAATTACAAGCTATTCGACAATTATTTTGCCACAATCGAAAGATCTCAAGAAAGCCACCCTAATTTTCTTTATAAATCATCTTCCAATATCTTAGACAAATGTGATGAAATAACTTCCTACCGTAAATCAATTTTGATGATATTAATTATATATTAGATAATTCTAATAAATGTAATATATATTTTATGAAATATTACCATTATTTGATATCCAGAAGCTCCTATTTCGATGCTTCTAATTCTGATTTTACACGTAATTAAATATAAAAAATTATAACTATGTGCACAGCTTATTTAAATCATTTTGACCACTATAAAAAGGACTATAAATTCAAAAAATTTATCTGATATACCAAAACATATATAATCACATTTTTTAAAGAATAATTTTATAATTGATTTACACACTCAACAATTGTAGGAACTTGGAAATAATTGTGTATGAGTAATCATTTAGTGGCTTTTTTTGTTTACATATATAACTGAATACAATAGTGGTGTTCCAATTGAGAAAACTTCAAAGCAGCTTGATTGAAAACTATTGGCTTATTCTTTAAGCCTTAAAAACCACTCAACCTTAAGGATTTAGTCGAAAAACATTGAGGATTGGGCTGAAAAAATTAACTCACATCTCAAGGCTCATATTTTCAGCTTGATTCTCTGGGATTGAGCCGGTGACTGCCATGATATATTTACTATTTTTGATGGTTCTCAAGCCATCCTAAATCAATTATAATATTATTCACAAAATTGAATTTATGATTCCATCCTCTTTATATACAAAAGCAACTCCCTTGAATAGTAATATTATAAAATTTTATTGTATTCATTTAGTAACTGGTCACTGGTGGGGGCGACATCGCGTAGATTACGTGCTGCGTAAATGTCCTCCTACACTGAATGCGGGGCAGTTTCCAATGTCCGTACTGCCTCATATCTTCCATGCGGGTTATTGGCAAAGTCGCCACGCCTCCCTTTTCATAGCGGAGCGTGTACTCTATGCACTTTCGGGAAAATTCGCTCGTCAAGCTGTTCGGAAAGAAAGGGCTAAAGAACAATTTTCAGCTCCTGGTATTGGTTATGATACTAGTCCGGGTTATAAATCGGATAAGCGACCAGTTATGGGTTGGATATCCGGAAGTAAAGATTCGAAAGCTGGTCCAATAAAGTTTAAAGAAACCTGGAATCGTACTAAAACATCGTTGGTGCAGAATAGGGTAACTATTTTTACGAATTTATTTAGGTATTATTTAAATTGAATGCTACGTTATTATCTTTTTGCTTGGTTTTTTTCAATAAAAAAATTAATGATTTGCTATGTTTTATATTAATAAGTGCTATGAATGGATAATAAATGGCATCCTTTAATTTAAATTTGTAAGTTATGTTTTGAATTAATAAATCTTAAGTTTTATATAAAAACTGTTTTATGACACACAAAAAACAAATTTTTAAGATTTAAAACTTTCAAAGTTTGCAAAGTCCTGAATAAGACGTTTACTGATAAATAATTTCATATTTTAAATTAATTTGTTCATTCCATGTTGGCTAGGCAAATTTTATGAAGTTTTCAATTTAATGAATAATTATGTTAAAAATTAATTTATATAATGTTATTTATATTAAAATCCATTTTCTTTATTATTTAATTAATTACTATAATACAAAACAAATCATCTATATAATATATAATTAAATTGGTGATCTGCATCGGGCCAAATTTTTCAAGCCTAACTTGGCGCTAAATATTTTTTTTAAATTTGCCTGGCCCGATCTCGAACATTTTTTTATTTTTCCCGAAAAGCCCGACCTAATAAAAATTACTTGTGCGTCCGGCCTGGCTCGAATATATTTAAATATAGAATTTAATTTTTTTTAAATTGTAAAAAAATATTCTACAAATAAAAAATTGGCCTTATGTTTCTTGCTTAAATTTAAAATTTACTAATTTATTTCACAAAATTGAAGGATGATATTTAAAAATGTAAACCCGACCCATCCCGAAATTTTATAAAAAATATTATACCTAACCCAGCCCTGACTAAAATTATGTTTGAAAAAGGGCCCTGCCCGAAGCTCGTTTAGACTAAATAAGGGCTCGTATATTCAGATCTCTAAACAAATAATACAACTTTTTTCCAATCTTAATTTTTTGAACTCATATATAAAAAAATATTGAAATGATGAATTATAAAAGCCAAGTATCTTTGAGTTGTTTTATAAATTTTTTTGTATGATTGAATTTATTTTATAAGCATCAGCATGAATTAACTTAGATTAACTAGCATGGTTATGCAGCCTTTTAGTTGATATAAAAATTGAAACTTTTCAACGTGAGAATATGATATCATATAAGGTTCTTCCTGCGATGTTGGTATTTAATAATTTTCACAGCCAATTTTCTAACTTAACTAAACTTATAATTGATGGCTAGAATTTTTTTCTTTTAGAAATCAAACAATTTCAAATTGAATCACTCTGGGCAAAGTGATTGTCATTTTTGCATATTTATTATCATTTTTAGTTCAAATATATTTGAGATTTATCATTAATCTTAGATCAAATAATTTTGAGATTTATTATTTATGTTGAGCCTAATAAAATTACCTTAAAATTTTTAAGATGAAACTGCCGTATTTGCGTTATTAATATTAACAAATATTCATTGACATTGCAAATAATTAAATACATAGCCAAAAATGATAAAGTATAGCAAAACATTTAAAAAGCAATAACTAAGCATTTCAATAAAAAAATATAAGCATTTTAATAAATAGACATAGCATATAATTTGTTCCAAATTTATTTGACCATATTTTTTGATGGATTGGTTATTTTAAGATATACAAAGTAATTTCTTAACTCACATAACTAAACATAAGATTTATTAGATATTTATAAAAATTATATTATAATTATATTTGTTTACCTTTCTATTCAGTAAAATTTCACTAGAGGTCTGTAGTGGGTGGGTTTTAATCCAAAGCAGGTTTGCTCAATGTTTCAAATTTTTTTAACCCTCTCGTCCGCCCAACCATATTTTTTTTAAAAAATTTCCCTGCCGCTCATTCATCTAAAAATTTGTTTAACCAGCTCAGAGTAACTTTAAAAATTTATATAATAAATTTATACATAAAAAATACTAAAATTTATTTATAAGTTAACAATTAATTTTAATATTATAATCTTTATAAATTTCAAAATCTACTCTATAAATCAAATTTATCAAGTAATTTAAAATATAAAATGTTGAAAATAGAGATAGACATGGAAGAGAATTTCGAGACAGATGATAACCACGTAATTTAACTCTCTCCCCAAATTTGCAAAATATTTAGAAAAAATAATAATATAGGATTTAAATTTGGACGCATGAAATAGCGAATAACAAAATCATTCAATAAATAAAGCAACTTCAACCTAAATAAAAATATCTCAAGATATTATTCATAAATTTTAATAAATTATCATCTACTATTTTAAATTTAGAATATCCACGGCAAAAATTTCTAGGAGATTGGAAAATTTATCTATAATTTTGGTGTATTATAGATCAAATTTAATTTAAACTAAATAGATTAATTCTAAGATAACAAAATCAGGTGTTTCTCAATAATCAGCACATAAATCGATAATCAATTTTATAATTAATGCAATTCAACCCCTCCTTGGTCGATAGTCCCTTATTTATCAATCTGATTACATTATCACTTGGTACCAAGTTATCCTGCTGGCAGAAGTGATGACAAGAATTTTGGATAATTTTAAAGAAATTATAGAGTTTTTTGCCAAATGCGCTACTTTCTGTTATTTATTTTATTTTAAAATTATAAAATATGCAATATTATGAAATAAATTTTTTTTAAAATAAATAAACTCGTGTTTAGTTCGCCTGATAAATATTTAAAATTTACCCGTACTTACCCATTGTTTTAAAAATATTTTTTATCCTTGTATAATTTTTCTAACCTGTCCTTATGCCTAAAATATGACGGCAGACTGACCCCCTTAATCTAATGATGCTGAGATCTAGTGGGTCGTTTAAAAACGGCTTAAGATTTTATCCAAAATAATATTATGCAGCCCTCTAGATTTGGCAAATAGAGGTTCAAACCTTTTTGCCATCCATGAACAAAATCTCCAGGCTTGCATAATATTATTTTGGCTTAAATCTTAATCGGGCCATTTTTAAAAATCGAGCCGTTATATAACATTACTGAGACTGATGACTTATATATAAAATGTGATTCCATTACAAAATAGATACTGACTATGTTTATTGACTATGAGGATACCCCTCTGAGTTACCCAATGACACCATTGTTCCATATCACCCCCTTCCCCCTCCTTTTCCATGTCAGAGGCTCTGACTAGAATAGAATTAAAAAATTAGGCATATTTTCAATTAACAACTTTCTTATGCTAAATAATAAGTGCCTAAATATTTAGCTGAATCATCAAATTATTTTTTTATGCCAATCATTATGGATGACGGTTTTTTTTAGAAACATCGGTATATATTACAGGAACTTTCGAGAATCTCAAAAAGGCGTTTAAGGCCAATTATAGATATGGCTATCTCCCAGGGGCGGACTGGCCATAAGACCAGGTGAGCATTTTGCCCACGAGGCCGCGAGAAATGTCGATTTTTGAGGCCGATCAGAGAAAATATCAAAAAAAGGCCGATTATAAAAAAAAGGTCGATTATTATGCACATTATTTTCTCTTATCATTTATTTATTTTTAATGATATCACATTCCTTGACAATTGTCATGTCGTTTACTATAATTTAATGCATAAAATACCAATAACGTCACTTGACGCTATACATCATTACCTCGTTTTTTTCTTTGTTTTTTTTCAAATGAAGTAAAAACGCTTCCGTTTGAGTAGAGTGAAAGCTAAGTTTTGATTAATTCATTATATTACATTTTTATACATTGATTTATTTTAGAAATAATATAGCCAACATTTCTTGTTCTTAATTCATTGAAATCAAATAAAATCCAGGTCGGTGAATCAGATTAAAGGATGGATGCTTGGGTGAAAAGAATAATTCATCTGGCCAAAATAAGTTGAGAAAGCTGCAAAAAATAGGTTAGATAAGGTACACGTGAAAAAGCCCTTAGAGGATATATGGTAAAGAGAGCTTGCTCCCAATATCGATAAATGCACTTCAATTTATAATAGATAATAAATCATTTGATACAAAAACTTGATAATTTTTGTAAATTTAAAACTCTAAGTACAGCTATAATATATTTAGAAATTTTTGAATTGGCCACTGTCATATCTTTAAACTAAAAAATTAGGTACTTTGTCAGCTTGGAAAATGATAGAAGATGCTAAGTCTTCTGTATCATCGATTATTACATCGATTCAATATAAAGCAATAAAATGGCTTCTAATTTAAATGAAACACTTTAATATTTAAAGCTTTCGGAGAGTATCAGGGTACATAATGCTCTGCCAAAAAATCGAATAGGACGAGCGAAGAGAATATATAGTGACAAATGTCAAGATAAACGTCCTCAAGAATCGATTGATCTTTATAGGTTTGGAGTATTTCGTCCTAATTGATCAAATTATAAACAGCTTGTTGGAACGGCTCTACATCTGAGGATATTCAGCATATAGAATTTCCTCTTAAAAATTAAAAATACATATTTTTAATTTTTAAAAGGAAAATATGCCAATCGCCAGAGTGGCCTAACGGGTTATAATGTATGCTTGGAAACAGAAGGACGCAGGTTCAATCCTGGTAAGGAGCATAAATATTTTCAGGTTTTTCTTCTATGACTGATGTGTAAAGACATATGGTAAGATAAATTTCGGAGCTTTTACATGCTAATCTCTCGCAGAAGTTTAAAGGTGTAATAGACTGCAAAGTCATCCCAGGAGAAGATATAGCCGCGCAACACAAACTACTGGTCATGGATTTACACATCACAAATAAATCCACTCGAAACAAGATAAAACTGGAACCATGCTTCAAATGGGATAAATTAAAAACAATGACAGATGCCTTTGCAATTCATGCAAACATTGAAACAATAGATTCCTCACAAGTCAGTGAAAAATGTGAACAGACCTTTCATCTAGATTAATAGACACTGCCAAATCTACACTAGGCTTGACAAGGGGAGGCAACAAATCATACAAAGAACTATGGTGGTGGAATGAAGTGGTACAAACCACTATACAGGAGAAAAAAACCCTTAATAAAATATGGTACAAATCCAAAAACCCAGATGACAAGACAAGATACAAAAAATCCAAGAGAATAGCTACAAAGGCGGTGGCTAGGGTCAAATCTATGGCATACGATGACATATATGAAGAACTACATATTAAAGAAGGGCAAAATAAAATATAAAGATTAGCCAAACAGCGAGAAAAGAATTCTAGGGATATAAACGGAGCTCCGAAAGTAATCAAGAATAAAGATGGTAAATTGATAATAAAGAAATAATGAATAGATGGAAAGATGGAAAGAATATTTTCATTAGCTTCTCAACTTAATCCCCACATACTACATTTAGATGAACACTCCCCATGTCAAAACCTTATACCACCAATAACAGAACAAGAGTTAATCATGCCTCAAGCATATGAAAAACAACATAGGGGTCCAGATGATATTCCAATAGAAAGCCTTAAAGCACTAGGAGATGATGGAATACATTTCCTCACAATAAAATACTTGGAAATGAAGAGGTTCCTCAAAAATGGGGGCAGAGCTATCTAGTTCCTATCTTCAAAAATAAAGGGGACCCACACAATTGTCAAAATTACAGGGGCATATAACTAATGTCACACTGTCTAAAACTATACGAAAAAATAAAAGAAAAAAGATTAAGAGACATAAATGAAATAGGAGAGACTCAGTTTGGCTATATGCCTGGAAGATCAACAACTGATGCTATCCCCGCAATTAGGCAAAAGAGTGAAAAATACAGGAAAAAGAACAAAAAGCTACACAAGGTCTTTCTCGATCTAGAAATGGCCTATAATAGAATCCTAAGAAAACATATCTGGTGGGCGCTACGCCACAAAAAGGTTCCCGAAAAATATATAAGAAAAATACAGGATATGTATTTGGGCCATACAACAATGGTCTGTAGCACAACAGGTACTTCAGCAGGCTTTACAATAGCCGAAGGAGTTTATCAAGGGTCGGCTCTCAGCCCACTTCTTTTCATTACAGTAATAGATGTATTAGCACAGTCTATACCTCAAACAGTCCCGTGGAATATGATATTTGCAGATGATATTGTGATACTTGCCGAATCCAAGGATGAATTGAAAGAAAGATTAGTGAGTTGGAAAAATATCCTAGAAAAGCACGGACTAAAAGTAAATAGAGAAAAGACGGAATATATGGTGATAGAAGGAGATGAATCAGAGAGTATTGATATAAATGAATGGCAGATATCGGCAATTGAAAGCTGCAAATATTTGGGCTCCACTATACAAACGGCACAATCGAAAAAGAGATAAAGAGTAAAATTAATCAAGGGTGGTTAAAGTGGAGATCTTTATCTGGATTGCTATTTGACAAAAGAATCCCACACAAATTAAAAGGAAAAATTTACAGTTCCATAGTACAACCAACTATTCTATATAGTTCGCAAACATGGCCAACCAAGGAATCAGACGAGAGAAGTCTACAAACTATGGGGATGAGAATGCTGAGGATGATTGCTGGAGTAACAAGAAAGGATAAAGTGCGCAGTACAAGAATACTAAGTAGTTTAATGGTAGTGCCCATTAAGACTAAGTTAATGGTAAACAGACTTGGATATTATGGGCACCAATGAGAATTCCTATGAACTACATAGGAAATAAGGTTGAGAGTTTGGAAGTGATGGGCAAACGTAAAAGAGGTAGGCCAAAACTTCAATGGGGCTATAAAGTTAGAGCCAATATAAAGAAGTATAAATTAGATAAAAGAGATTGTATGAATAACATAAAATGGAGAGAGATGTTGAAGGAGCTTACCACCAGAAAAGGTGAAAGCTAAAGAGAAAAAAAAGAAAAAGGAACGGAATTATGCCAGGAAAAATAATTTAATGATATACCCCCTTTTAAAATGTTTATATTTAAATTTAGATTGCAAATCTTATATTGCTGAAGATATTCAGCAGATAGAATAATTTTTTATTTCCTCTTAAAATGTATGGAAAATCCTATAAGGTTGGGAAGTATGATTTCAGGATTTTTATCTTGATGAAATAAATAGGAAAGATATATATATATTGCGTGTTAAATTACGTAACGAATAATGTTCATTTGCCAGTGTATTCAAAGATATGGTAGCAAAATAAATGAAACGGAAGATGATCGTATGAACAAGTGAGGAGTCAAATGAAGAAGACGGAATACTACAATATGATAATAACTCAAAGTGTGACGACAAAATTAATATTCAATCAGAGCCCCTCATATACGAAACTTTCTCGAGCCAGCATACATATTTTTAGAAGAATTTGTGGCCAGATTGCTTGACAATAATTTCAAAATTTGATAAAAACTTTAATCTAGGGTATAATTAAAGCAAATTATTTGTTATTCGATTTAATCATAAATATTTGAAATAATTATAAACTAGCCAAAATATTCCTTGCGGAACTTATTTTTTAGATTTACCCATCGTATTCCTTTATTCCTTTCCTTTTTAAAATTTATTTTCATATTTAATTAATAATTTTTTAAAATATAATAACACATTTTTAACTTTTGAAAATATTTTAAAAATAATTTGTGAAATAATCGTTTTGAGCTATTGCTAATAATACCAATATTTGATTCGTTACTCTAATCTGGGGTTATATTCGCGTATCATCTTTATATCCAACATTATGTGAAATTCCTTTTACGGAATCAAAATATACAAAAAATTATTTATTTACCCAATAGTCATTTCTTCTCGAAAATTCATCGTCGATTATTTCCAAAATAAAAAATTTTACATATTCGCCTAAAAATACAATTCGAGATTTTGGTTTTCATTTATGGTCCCTTTTTGCCGTATTGACACTTTTGGCGGTCAGATGGGAAAATGAATTGAAAAACCTAATCTAAAGAAAAGGAAATCAAAAAATTTTTAAAAAGCAAGTCAATAGCAAAAAAGATTAAAAATTTGGCTGCCCCTAAGAATAGTTTAATTTTGGTGACCCAGCTCACCTGTATTCTTACCCTCTTGCACGGGCTTGTTTTGACAACTCAATTTTCTTTTATAATTATTTATTAATACACATTTTTTTTGTACTATAAAGCAAAATGTATGTTAGAATAATTTAAATAACAAATAATTATTTAATGTACACACTTAAAACAAACCAATATTGGGTGTCCTAGTTCAACATCTAAAATCTGTTTATTTAAAAAATAAGACTAACCAGGACACGGCCTTGTACAATAAATAAATATTTTGTTTTGGAAGAATCACAAAGGCACTTTACCAAAGTTAATCTAAATGGCCTTTTCTTGTTAGGCTGTTTAGAGGAAGCTATATAAGCGGATAAACAGACTGCTGATTAGAAATAAGACGAACCAGGACATGGCCTGATCTGGGTTAGTGGGGTAAGAATAATATCTGAAAAATATCATAAAAATATAAAACTATTCAATTTAATGTTCAAATTAGACAAACATGCATGTTTTTTTAAATATGATTATTATAAAAATGGCAATTCAACTATATTCTTGACAAATATATAAGCAAAAATTTTGAAAATATAATTTATTCAGAATATTAGTAGTAATCACAGAGCCAACGATATTATCTTAAATGACTCGATGCCACAATCATTGATTGCTAGGTTCTCTTACGGGCCTCTAGACGTTTTAACATTAGGAGGAAAAAAAGTAGTATAATTTATGGTTTTTTAAAATGTATAATACATAACTAGGTCGATATTTATCACAAACCTGATGAAATATTAAACAGAATATATTATAACCAAAAAGACAGTACCAAAGACTATAATAATCAGATAGAACAAGCTGATTGGAAATATATTGGAAGTTCTTATACAGAGCAGAACGGGAAGTTGGTATATAACATTGTGTCAGATAAAAGACTTAGAGATGGCATTCACAAAATCAAGATGGTTTTAAGGTTAAAAATACATCAATTTAAAAACACATGTAATTTAATTTTAGTGTGATTTTTCTTTTTCTTTTTATTTGATTTTCTTTTATAACTTTAAATATTATGTAGTATAGTAAAAGTTAATGTCTTATAATGAGATACAAGCTTTTTTGTTATTAATAAAATATATAGCTCCTCATCTTCTTCCGCAACAAACTTTAAAGGTTCTCAACTTCGAAGTCATCTACAAGATATAGAAGAGACGGAAGAACGCGCTACCTTAACATTAGCCGTTCTCCATTTTACGACGGCCTTAGCAGTGTTTAGCATTGATGGAGCTTTTGCAGCAAATATTTCTTTGACCGGGAGTGACGCTCGTTCTCGCATGGGATCGGCGGAATTGGCCCGTTTCTGGGTGCAGACTTGTGGCCTTCTTCCTCTTTATTTATCAGCACGACCCGACTTACAATTAAACGGTGTAGTGGACTGGCTTGCTCGTGAAAAGTTTCCTCGTGGACTCGTACGGTTTACCACACTTGACACATCTCCTGTAATATCACTGCTTAAAGATAAAGCGGCTTATTTAAAGCATCTCGTACACGAGGTTACTCTTTGTTACTTGTATAATGTTTTGAATTAAGGCTTATTTATCGGCAAATGCCTTCTAAGGTCTACATATTATATCGAAATTAACCACTTAAATATGAATACTGCAATCCTTTTTTGTTGTTGCGTGAACATAGGCAACAATATTAAACTATTTGCTGTGCAACTAGACGGCGAACTTTTCGCTACTAACTTTTTACTAACATTCTATTCTATATTTACCTTATTTCAATGAAATGTCTTATAATAAATTGGTCATTTTTAAACTGACCATTTACATACAGATTTTTAAAGGTTGACCCTAATTAACTCAAGCCCCCCAAACTAGGCCACATTTTTTCATAGGGATTCACAAAATAATAATCACTATAGTGTCCGCATTGAGACAGTACACATTTATCATAGTTCAGGTTTATGAAATTTTTGAATTTCTATACTAACTTTGAACCATATGCGGGTCTAAAAAATTCGACTTTCCCTACCCGATTATCAAAAAATTGTTTAAAAAATATGATCCATAATTTAGTTTTGGGCCTATAGGTATATTTTCTCGTTATACAATTTATGCTGATAAAATGTTCTACCTATTACATATCAGTGACTAAACGTCCATAGAAGCAAGGAAATCATTGCTTCCCTTGTAATTTTTCTTAAATAAAATTAATATAATCTTTATGCTACGTTAAAAAAAATTAATACCACAACTTTAAAAAGAGTTAATGATATTTTTACTACATTATTTTACTGCGTTATTATATTACTGCTTTTAAGTTTAAAGCTTAAATGCGGAAGAAAATTTAAAATTGCTAAAAAATCATATTGCGTTGGAAGAATAAACTTTGGTAAACAAACATAAAATTGCTTATTTTTTAATAAAAAAGAGAAAATCAAACAAATGTTTTGTGTAATTTTACATAAAAATAAGCGTTGGGGAAACAACTAAAAAATTAATCACCGATGTTTATTTTTTGGAACATCAACTTTGGCTTTAAATAATTCTTTATGTAATTTATAAATTTAACAAAAGTGTGGCTTGTCTTGCCATATCTTTTTCTTTCTAAAAATCAAACATAAATTTTTTGAACTTATTCTGTAAAATTTTTATATATAAGAATATAATATTACATATAAAATTAATAAAAATTTCAAGGATAATAAAATAAATAACGGGCTCGGGCCTAATTCTACTTAAAATAATCGGGTTCGGGCCGGGCCTTATATTTTTAAAAAAATTTAATAAAAATTTTTGATTTAATTTATTGAAACTAAACGCTATATAACATATGTCTTTTATTTCAAGTAATTATAAAAATTAATTTCTATATTTAAATAAATTCGGGCCTGACCGGGCCAGTAAATTTTTTTAAAATAAATTTCGGGTTCTGGTTTGACCGGAAAAACTTTTTTAAAAAATTTCGGGTTCGGGCCGGGTTTGAAAAATTAGGCCCGATGCAGATCACTAATTTCGCTTGTTCAGCATTTTCTATAGAGCATCCGCGAAAAAGGTTTTTAAATTTTTTTTTGGGGGGGGGGTTGTTGGGAGAGAACGGCAGGTTGAGGCTGAGATTCTTAGCTTTTTCGGGTTCAAAAATGTGCCCATGGTTGGCCAGAATCGAAACTCTACTTGTTCAAATATATATGTCGTATTGAGGTATGGAATCCATGTGGGGGGTGGGGGGGGTATGGAATCCATGTAGATTCGGAATCTCTGGATTTTGAATCATTAACTAAAGGCGATTTTTAAATTTTATAAATCTGATTTGACAGGAATTGTATTTCAGAATATAAATTTCAAACAATTTTGTTATGAACCCTAATTTATATTAATTTTTATATGGATTTTTCATATAAATTAAAAAATACTAAAATGTCTATGGCGAAATTTGACTAAAATTTATAGGGTAAATACTGTACATGTGCTAGAATACATTTCCGGTTAAATCGGATTTTAAAATTTTTAAATCCTCGGTAAAGGATATTTGATTTAAAATCGAGAGATTCCAAATCCCAACGGAATCCATATCCGAATACTACATATATCTGATACCTGCAGGCTCGGCCCTCCGGGCCCTATTTTAATTTTTTAAATATATCCGGGCTGGGCCGGGCCTGAAAATTTTTTTTAAAAAAAATATCCGGGCTGGGCCGGGCCTGAAAATTTTTTTTAAAAAACCCAAATATTTTAAATCGTCATTATTAGCAATAAAAATCAAAAATATATAAAAAAATTTAAAAAAATTCAGGCTGGGTCTGAATTTTTTTAAAAAACAACCCGGGCCGGGCCGAAAATATTTTTTTTTAAAAAATCCGAGCCTGGCCGTACAAATGGTAACTCTGCTGGTCTCTAACATATATTGCAAATAAATTTTGCAAACTACTTAGAATTATAAATATTAACAGTTACTCTGTTTTTTTTATCCCATTAACCCAGGACTGATATTTATTTCTTATATGTTAAAATATATTATACATTATTTTCTACATTTTACAAAGGTGGGTTTAACGATTTTTGTTGCTTATGGATCGAGCAAAGATATTCCTACATATTGCTCGCTAAATATACCTCCAGAAAGAATTTATTCTATAACTAAAGTACCAAAGAGATATCAAGGGGAAGCCACGGTAAAAATAAATTATAATTAACACTATTTGACCATGGAAAAAATATTTTTTTGTTGAAAGTATTTAAGTGAAGGTTATTCCGCACATTTACAACAACTTAAAGTGGAACAAAAGATCATTCCAAACGTTCAGTCGAAATTATATATAGATGATAATATTATTACACAGGTTACATAAATATAAATTATGCCATTCTTAATTTATTTTATTATTTAAAGTAATTTGCTTTTTTTTGCATTTAAAAATAGTGGGATCTTAATAGAAATAGCTTTAAATTACCAAAGACTACGAAAAAATGCATGAGTGAGAAATATAGTGGCAAAAATAATATTTATGAAGATGATAAAACTCGAAATAATTCAACTCTTCCTAACATAAAATCCACCATCTCTGATGATAAATTGCCCAACGAGTATCTTTCTTCGAATAATTTGTCTAATCACAGGGAACGCAAATATAGTTTGAGTCGATTATTCAAAAAATTTTAATCTTTTACTTATATAACTGGTTTTTGTTGAAAGATAATTTGCTATAGAATATATTTATATTTAGAATTCTAGTTTTTTTAATAACGGAGATTGCCAATAGAATCCATATCTTCCAACGACCTACTAATTTTATGATTTGTCAAGTTGCTCAAATTGACAAGTTTATTTAATTGCAATATAGTATAATAAAATATATTATAAAATCTTTTAAACTAATCAAAATATAGAAAGTTGTATTTAAATAACAAGATTTTAGGTAATAAAATCAATGTCATTCATTCTCTGCAATAATAATTTTCTAATATAAATTATATAATTTATTATTTTTTCCACATATATGTGTAATTTATCTAATACTCAAATATTTAATTCTTTATTTCATATTTATATAATAACTGCAATATACAAAATAAATAACATTTTGTTTTTGAATATATTAGAAATATGGCAAAACATGTTTATTTCACAAATTATAATATGCATATATAGATTGAAAGAAATTAATATATATTATAACAAAGCATTCACTTGTTTTAAATTTTTTAATAACTTTCTCTAATTCCCTTCCAAAATGTGTTTTTCCTTCAATCTAGATGATTTTCTTACTTTTTTTCGGTTCACTATACATCTCGATTGTTTGCCTGGAAATACAAAATATTTAAAATTATCCTTTGAATTTCCTTTATCATTTATTATATTCAATGATGTCTTCACCTTCATAAATTCGTTTATTTGGCCTGTTACGTTGCATCCCTTAACAAAATTTTGTTTGTTTCCAAAAGAATTCATCTTATTTGCAAAAAATTTAGGATGCTTAGGCTTTGAGTCAATATCGTTATCTTTTGAAACAACATAGGTATAAGATGGTGTTATTCTGGGTTCCGGAATGCACTTTGGAGTTATAAAAACTTTGTAAGTTTTTGAACTGCCGCATATTTCTTTCGATATTTTAGCATTTTTTTCGATTAACTTCGAAGTTTTTTTTGTTTCTTTGTTTTTACTATAATTTTGAGTATTTTTTTCAAGCTTATGGTCTCTTTGGTGCATGCTAAGTTTTAATTTTGAATTGGCGTTTTTTACATTTTTTTCCCCCATTATGTTCATCTTTACTAGATTATTCATAAATGTATTTTTTCTAGAAATTTTACTTGAAATATTTTTATTCATCTTACACATCTCAAACGTTTTTGAAGTCAACTTAATATCTTCTATCTCACTTGAAGAGTCATTATCTATTTCCATTTGTACCAATTTATTATGACATTCATTTTTGTTCTCTTTCATATCTTCATTTAAACAATTTATTTTTTCAGATATCATTAACATATCAGGGCTATTAATTTGTTGTATTGTTAATAAAGATAAGTTTTTAAAAGTATTATTAATGCCTTCAATTTTATTTTTCAGGATAGAAATAGTTTCATTAATAACATTACTACTGTTATTGTTCATATTCATATTTCTTGATTGGATTTTATAAAAATGCGTGTTTATCACGGTTAACAATTGATTTTGAAATTCATTTAACTAATATTTTTTTTAAATATTTTAATATAATAAAGTTTTATTCGAACCTGTTTGATATTATCCTTTATTATACACTGAGTATTTAGTTTGGAATTATCTAACACATCTGTCCAAATTCTTGCCTGCGATATTATCAATGATTCTATACCTTCTCGTATTTGAGTTAAATTTTTATTTAGTATGTTATTGTTAGTAAATGAGTTGGTCTCATTCTTAAAATTTGGTTCCTTATAATTAATTTTCAAGTCTGAAAGCGACTGATTTAATAACTATAATATTATTGAATAAATATAAAAATCGAAAGTTTACTGTAAAGGTTTTTTCATTTGCTGTATAGTAATAAGATATTTCATCTTTTATTTCCATAAAACCTTTACTAAATTTATCATCAATTTTATTTAGCATTAGTTTATTGGTTTCTTGCAAAGATTTATGATGTCTATCAAATTCCTTAATTTTTGACGTGCCAATATTCCAAATATTTTTTATTTCCTTAAAATTTCTTGCATTATAATATATAAACCTTTTTACCTTAATAGATTCCGATAATTTATAAAAATTTTTATCACTTGCTTTTTCTTTACATTCCATATATTGAGAGAAAAATTTTTGAAACTGATTGATCTCTCTAGCAACTAGAATATGATTTTAGAAGTTATACATTAAAACAATATTTACCGCATTCTTGGATATAAGATTTAGCCTTAAGATCAAAATCATTTTTTTCATCTATTTTTTTACATATATTAAGTATAGAATCTCCAAATGACGAATGAAATTCTTTAATCTCTACACTTATGTCAGATATTTTTTCTCTATTAAAATATTTATAGATAAATTTTTAAATGTAGAATTAAACTTTATTTCATTTTCTTTACGTAACATCATAATTTTGTCATACTTATCTTCATTTTTATAATCATTTGGACAATTTAATTTGTAGCTAAGATTTGACTGAGAATTTGTCAAATATTTATTAAAATGTTGACTTAAATCGATCTTAAATTATAATTTTTGTCATATTTCATATGTTAAAATAACCTTTTGATTTTCAATCTTAACGTTTTTATCGAATGACTGAGAATTTTGAGAACTGATTCTCTGAGAACAATCAGATAAAATATCCATACCTGAATCATGGGTGCTTTGGCTATCATTAAATCTTTATACAAAAATTAGGTTTGTTTAATAATTAAAAATAGTGTACCTTGAGCTAGTAAACATTAAATCCTTAAACAGACGATTTTCAGTTTTAATTAATAAAAAAATATCCTCTAAAAATATTAAATATAAAAATAGTATATATAAATGCATCTTTTTGTTTATTAAATTTTAAACATGATGATTTATTATCATGGGTTGTAAAATATATAATTGATATAAAATACTCTTAAAAATGTAAAGTAGTTTTATAAAAATTTGCAAAAAGATGAAAGATATTTTAAAATTGCAAAAATTTGTCTAGACTAGCATGGGCTGGAGCCTTGTTCGCTCAAACTAGTTGCTAAATTTCTGCCAATAGATTCGTATTAAAATCGAAGCGTTTCTCATTATCTAATCTAAAAAAATATAGATAATTGTTTCCAAAGGGTAATTTATTCATAATATGTTTTATATTATATACATATTTTTGGAAAAAAACTATTAATCATTTTTAATATTCTATTCTCATCTTCTCAATCTGATTAAATTTAACATCTATTTATACCATCTAGATTAATTTAAAAAAGGGAAAATTTAAATAATTTTAGGGACATAGAAAAAATTAACGAAAATCGAAATTGTTATTTTTTAATTTGAAGACATCTTTACTATACTACGAAATAAATAACTAAAAATAGATCATAGAATTCAGATTTCAGAGTATTTATTATTTATCAAAGACTTCTATTTTGGTAAAAATCAATTGAAAAATGACAATTTATTTTTTAACCTATTCAAATTACTCAAGTCAACATCTTGATCTTCTAAAATAATTCTCGAGTGAAAGAGATAAGAAATAAATGTTATACTAGTAATTTTATTTTTATTTAATTTATTATTAAAATGTATGATATAATAACGATTAATAAAATAGTAAATTTCATTAATATGTCAATTTAAAAAATAATCACATTTGTTAGTATATCTTTTAAGGATAAATAATAATATATTTAAATAATATAAATAAATATATAGTAAATTAATATAATAAATTATTTAAATAATATAAATAAATATATAGTAAATTAATATAATAAATTGAGCATATGATTTAAAAGAATTATGAGTTTTCATAGTTTGCCCTTCAGTTTTTCTTCTTCCATCTGAATATTCCTCTCTTGTTCTTAATTGTTTTTCTCATCGCCGATTCTGTGATTAGGGTTTGGTTCTTTTGTTGACTTCCATCTGAATATCCCTCTCTTGTTCTTAATTGCTCTTCTCATCGCCGATTCTGTGATTAGAGGGTATCAGTCATTGAGAATATAAAGCTGAGATAATTGGATTTTATTATATTGAGGGCTAATCTTTGGCGTAGGTAGTAACCCTCGTTGGGATCTTCGGTCCTAGTAGAGATCCGTTTCCCCAGCTCTTTAAAGAAGGCCAGGGCATGAGAGCCGAACGACGTTAGAGTCGTGGCGATTAGTGGTAGGAATGTGTAATTGGCCGGAAGCGATGGCGAATACTTAGCGAGTTTATTCGTCTCGGCGTCTACTAGAGCATCTCTATTTATACTGGAAGGGGCAAGGTGACCGATGCATGAGAAATCCCAGGTTATGAATTAGCCCCTCTTCCAAGGGATCATGGTAGAGCCATCAGGACGCTTACCATCAGAATTGTAGAGTCCAGTAGGTTCGAGGGTTGATGGGATACCGGCAGATTTTAGGGCCCTGGCAATAATATCATTGCATTTTGAATGTCTAATGAATCTGCCTCTATAGCGCTTGCAGACGGCCTTTGGAGTTGACCGGCGTTTGACAAAGGATGCAGTGATAGGGTATTACCATATCACAATTAAGTCTTAGACCGATGGCATGACGTAGCTCATTATTGCTTAGGAGCTGGTCAAGGTTTCGCGATGGAAAAGCTTCGAGAAATTCATACCCGCTGTCTGCGGAAATGGAGAAGAGTAGAGAATGGTCCTCGGGTTGGCTCCTCGATTTAAGGTATGCAACGGAGTTGCCAACTAGAGGCTTATCCCAGTCCTTCTGCAGTGCCGATGAGGGAGGATCGACTAATGAAAGAGATTTCCATAGATCAATTTCCTGGGGAAGTAAAGGGTCAGGATGTTTTGTGAGTGCGTGTATGATGGGCGCGCAGAACAGGCGAGAGGATATGAACGCACTAACAGAGAGTAGGGAAAGCGATCGTATGCCAATGCCGCCGGATTTGGTTGGCAAGGTAGCTTGTAGCCAAGATAGGTCTCCGAATTTGAGATTGAGTATATCCTCTGTGAGGTGTTTAATCTCTAGCTCGTGTGCGGCGAGGTTGACGTCGTATTGGAAAATACGTGACGATCGGAGTGTATATAGAATTTTTGGGATTAGGAGGTAGTTCTTTAATAGAAAGAACGCTTGGTGGGCTGGGGGGGGCGAGATAGTGTATCGCGCATGAGGGATATCTCTAGTAGAGTGTCGGCGAAGAACTTGACAAAGGACTCGTCTTTACCCACTGGAGATCCGAGATGTGTTAAGAAGTTCAATGGTGTATGATTGAACATAGGATCATAGTTTAGGTCGATGATTCCAAAAGGACAATATTCGCTCTTGTCTTGATTGATTCGCAGTCCCAAACTGCTCTCGCTGGATTTTATTATTTCGACCGCCTTCATAACTTCGCTGGGTGAGCCGCCTAGTATACCATCGTCGATATACCAGTTATAAAGGTTTAGTTTACATTGGTAATTTATGCCTTGTATTAGGCTATTAATGCCCAGACAGAATAAAAAGGAGCCTAGAGGGTCACCTTGTTGTATTCCATTACTAGAAGGAATCAATCTATCTCCAAATTGAAGATGCGATGGACTAGCATAACAATCGAAGATGAATTGCGAGTATTCTGGGTAAAGGGTAAGGATGGGATTAAGAAACGCTGAACGTTTTAGAGAGTTAAAAGCGTTTGAAAAATCTATCTTAATTAGGATATCGTCACTGGGGTCCTGTTTGTAGATACATTCTGGTCATGTGTAGGGATACCTCACATCCCCCTTTTACGTTGACTCTTAATTGATTAGGGCACAGGTGATTGGATACTGTGAACAATATTCTGCTCACTACTAGCTTTGCGGTTAATCGGCGCCAAGTGGTCCCAATAGCGATAGGGCGAATATCTTTATTAGGTTTATGGAGGGCGATGAGTTTAGCTCCATAAAGGAGTGGAATAATGGCGGGTGGTAAGCCTCCAGCAAGCATACGGTTGATGAGTTGAGTAATTTTTTCCAAAACGTCGCATTGTTGTGTGATGTAAGGTGCGGTTAGATCCTGTAGGAATATTGGGCGAAACCCATCAACTCCCGGTGAAGAATCGCGTTTGAAGGAGAGAATAGCCTTTCTAACCTCGCTTGAGGTAAAAGTGGTTGCAATTAGAGGAGCTTCGGGGTAAGACGGTATTTCGTCCTTAAGATCGTGTGGGTAGTGTTTTAGGAGAAGAGCTTGATAAGTTGTTTGATCGTAGGGAGCTAGCTTATTGTCAGATGTTGCCAGTCATATGGCGGATTTAACATTCAGGTTATCCAGCTTTTTAGATATAAGCTTGGCCTTGGTGAGTAGCTCATTTTTGTGATTTTTATTTTTATCAGTGTCATCACCTTTAAAAGATGTGGAAAAGTGACTGATGGGTAAGGGGTAGATAGTAGCATCCTTGATTTGCTGTGTCAGAGATTTTTTGCTGGCAGGATCAGGAACTTGCAAGGTAGTAAAGGCAAATGACAGGGTGTCTAGCCAGTGTTTTATGGAAGAATAATTATTTATCAAGGAAGTCAAGTTCTTTGAGAGGTGTTAAAACTATTATAAGAGGCCTAAAAAGTGGCAAATACAAAATGAAGCGGAGCAGTATTATATATTATAATGGTCATTGTATTTAATATATTATATGTTATAAAGGTAGTATTTTGTTACTGCTTTACCACCTCGGTAATTTAATTTATAGACGACTGATTAATAATAAAGTAACCCTGGGCCATATACCATTAAAATTATAGAATATAAAAAGCAGGACTTCCGCTTTATAAAAGAGTTGTAGTAGGGATAGAAATAGATTGTAATCAGGGATGCATGGTCGGGAAGAACGGGAGGCTAACCTATGTTTTTCAAAAATGTTAAATTTGAATCCTCTTTCTATATTGTTATAAAAATTGAATCGAATTTTTTATCGCCAGATATCGCCGTTATGACAAGAGATAGAGAAACAAAAAGTTTTATTTTTCATTTCATATTTTATTATCAGCTAAAATGTAAATTTTCATTTCTCTCATTTTAACAATATTTTTATAGATATTAGAAAATTAAAGACAAAAAAAAATTTATTTGAAAATTTTAATATAAAAGCGGTACTGATTGGAGAAGAAATGATACTTGCAATCGACAGTGATGACAATTTTTAATATTTTTACTTCATTTCAGTGGCGCGGAGTCCACAGGGATGGTGGGTCTCTCTAAATATTCTATAAAGTTTATATTATTGACCCATTAATTTTTTTTAAATTTTACAACCCATAGAAATTTTATAAGTCACCGCTTTTGTTTAATTTGAAATATTGAGTGAGATTTACCATTAGAAAGTAGTGATGATAAATGGCTCCATTTTTAGAAAGTTTTAAGCCGACTCAAAAACGTTAAACCGAATTTTTAAGCTAAAATTATCATCTTAGCCTCGATAGCAGTTTAAACTTAAAGGATATTTTTAAAAAATTCAACTCGTGCCTCAAGGCTTAGAGAATTTTTACGACTGTTAGGATTGAGCCGATTTAACAGCACTACAGGCAAGAAAAAGTCCAATTTTAACAAAAATTTTTAAACGTTTAAGTAGGAATCTGAAATCTTCAAATAGGTAAGTTATTAGGATTAATCAACTTTGAAAGAAATAATAAATTTGGATATCAGGTTTTTTGATGTCCATTTTCCCAATGAATTATTCATTATTGATTGAATGATATTTTAAAAATTATATCATTTGGTGTAGAATAATTAAATATAATGTTGATTACTAAAATCAAAAAATAATAATTTGATTAAACAAAGATTTAACTAAAAAATAAAGATGAGCCCAAGTCCCAAATTTGATTTAGGGTTGATGCAGAGATGAACATATTGTCTACAATTGCAAACAATATTTTAAAATAAAATCGGGCCGGGTCGGGTCTTGGAATTTTTTTTAATATATTTAAATTTATCAATTTTATATTGAATTTTTTATTATAAAATAAAAATATTAGATTTTATTTAAAGAACTCTTTATTTTGAGTAATTATAAAAATTAATTTCTATATTTAAATAAGTTCGGGCCGGGCCTTCAAATTTTTTTAAAAAGAATTTTTTAGAAAAAGTTTCAGGTTCAGGCCTTGTTGGCAAAACTTTTTTAAAAAAAATTTGGGCAGGGCTTGAAAAATTAGGCCCGCAGATCACTAATTTAAAATTATATAGGTAAATATTTAAACTTTTATTTAAAAATACACCATTAAAAATAATTCCAAAACTAGTAACATTAGAAATATCGATTAATGACATATACTTGTCATTGGCATCAATATACCATGCATGAAGACATTGCTAACTGCATTAAATATCGTTTGTCTTATATAGAAAAACATGTCGACGCATTCTTCAATTATATTTGGAAAAAAGTTTAAATTTGAGAAATTTAAACAGGAAAATATTATTTTTTTTACTTGAGATAAAATTAAATTGACTAAATATTTGTGACGTTTCCTTTTTAGGTCGAATGAATGTGTGCAAAATTGGCTTATCCAGCATTATTTGTTCATTTTTGAGTCTTAAAAGCAGAGCCTCGCTTAACGCCTAGTAATTTTTAACTATATTTTAATGATTAATAATAATCATTTGAAACAATAAATGCTTAAGTTTTATTGATACTGAATTTTAATAAGAAATTATATTTTTAGGCAAGTTAATTTTTTAATATTCAGAATTCATAAATTTCCAAAAGTCATGAAATTTTATTTTAGAATAGACTCGTCTTTAAAAACTTAATAAGATTTAGGCGATTTATTGTTATGGTTATTAAATCCCTGACTTTAATATAGAATTAATATAGAAAAATATATATTACAATAAAATTTAAAGATTCTGAATTTGATATAGAAATACCATTTTTATCATACACTTATCATGATTATCGATTTCATTCTAAATTTTGATATTTTTAAATATAATGCAGTATATTATTTTCTGTTTTGTCTTGCCTCGGATTTTTTGTTTTATCCAGGGTTCGCCCCGGTCTCTTTTACTATTAAACCTTATTGTAGATAAGATATAGTATAAGGGTTGCACCAACGTACGAATAATAAAACCATCATTCGATTCGAAAATTAAATATTTTGAAATATCAAAAGTGAAAACTAAATTAAAAAAAATATAATTAATGTTGATATAAATTTAAAAAAATAAAGTTCCACAAGGAACAAGTTAAATACTTGGAAATAATTTTGGTTAGTGATAATTCCACTTTGATCATTTGCTAAAGAAAAACCAATTTTTGCTCAACAACCAAATTTTATTATAATGCAATACTTATTTTTATAATACTAAAGACGGAATCACAGGATCGCTTCCTATTCTATATATCATACCCCATAGTACAGATCCACAAAGTTGGTTTCAGAAAAAACTGGTCTTGCTGGATACGAAGCCACTATACAATTTGTAGTATAGCTTATCATCTTATATCGCATATAATAAATAAACAACGTGTTTAGTACATAAACAACAAAGCCTGTCTGACGTGCAACTACTCAATAATGTCAAACATATATAATTAGAATATTAAACAAATAATTTCAAGATCAAATAAATTTAAATACTACAAATAATTTTAAATCCTTTCGAATATTTAAAACATTTATTTATTCGATTCGAATAGTGAATAATCTGTTTTGGTTATAAGAGTGAGTCAAGCTTATATTAATATCGCTGGTAATAAGATATATCACCAGAGTAGGCCTCAAATAACAAACAAAAAATATTACTATTGAAGACTAATTCTTTTACAATTTTGATCAAATAATGTATATCAGAGACTTGCGAGCCCAGGCTTAAGCTCGGCCCGGGTACATGGGCCGAGTTGTATTTTAATTCTTTAAATATACACAGACGGGGCCTAAATATCTTTTTTTAAATACCTGGGCCAGGCCGTATATTTTAAAACCAAATATTTTAAATCGCCATTATTAGCTATGAAAATTAAAAATAAATAATATGTATTTTAAAACAATCCGGGCCGGGCCTGAAAATTAATTTTTTTAAATTATCTGAGAATGCCCTAAAAATATAAGACCCGGCGGGGCGGTAAAGCTTTTTTAAAAAAATCCGAGTCGGGTCGTGCAAATGGTATTTCTGAAAGTCTCATATGTATATGATTATTTTAAATTATATTGAAATGTAATTTATATTTTGTTTTGATCATCTATGCGTACAGAGAAATTTATTTTTTAAATCACTCACACAAAAAAAAATTGTATAGTAAGATATATTAGTTTAATTATATTTACATATTAATAATAAAATGTCAAAAATAATATGTTCAATCTCTATAAATATAAATCTTTTGCCGGTAATTGTTTAGTGTGATTTTTAAACAAGAGACAATCCAATTTTCCAGCCCTAGATTAATTATATATTATTATGAAATCAAAAACAAAAAATATAATTTGGATCGAAAAATTTTCATATTATACACAATAATATACGTTCAAGGATGACAATAATTAAAAATGTATCTGGCTGAATATGATTTTTAAAAAAAATTATAGTTGTTATAGCTCATACGAATCAGAACATTTTTATTGTTAAAATCTAAGAGGTCAGGTAGCGTTAGCAATATTTACACTTAAGATAAAATTAAAAAATTTTTAAATTTTCTTCCACAAATTTTTAATGATTTAAATCAATAAAAGTATACAATCCAAATAATCTGCTTACAGGTTCTGAAAAACTTAACAACATTATATCGTAATAAAACTTCTTCCCTACTTCGAGTTCAAGCACCTTTTGCTTAAACAATATTTTATGTAGTGAGGTGGCTTTCATCACTATTAATAAGTTAATTTTATAATATTGTGTTTTCTTTAATTAGAGCCCAATAAACTTAATTTGCAGATAGAATATTTGTCAAATTTTTGATAAAAATTATTTTATCATTTTAGAAGAAGAAATAAAATAAGACGTTTTTAATTAAATAATAAATATTAAATTTATAAAAAATATTTAAATATGGAGTATGGAATATATGTTACCATTTAACATCAATAAATTTTACAAGCTACTTGAAAAATATGTACCTACACTTAGAGAAATATAGTTAAGATAGCTAAAAAATTAACTGTAGTTTAGATAAATTTGTAGTCAGACACTGTCCGACCTTAAGCCTTATATTATATAAATTCACAATAATGTCTAACTATCCACAACTTAGTATATTATGTTTTGATCTTGCGTAACTTGATCCAATCAGATATAACTTTTATAGTACAGTTAGACCAATGAATCACATTCTTGGAATCAATATAAGGTTGATCTTCTAATTGGGAACCTTTATCGCATTCTTGCTCACTGTCGTGATATGAATTTAATCTAATGAATTTTGAAAAGATTTTAATCTCTTACCAATTTTATAATAGATTTTAATTATATTTACAAATGAGCTAATTCGTGAGACAGAAAATAGGCTACACTTGTTGGCTTGTACCAAGCAACTAAAGCACTCTGATTCCTTCTGCACATGGTTCCTACATTAGCCCAACCTTAGAAAACAAATTATTTTATAATTTATTTAAAATATTACCTACGACATATCCTTTGTTAATGCTTTCAATAGCCCGGCTATAGGATAATTGATTGCAATGAATAAAAAAGATTATTACATTTTTGAAATCTACAAATTAGAAATGTATAGACCTTTGCGCCGCCGGCATTTTATTCACGCCGGAACAGCCGCCGATTAAAATTATCGGCGTAAGCCGGCTCGTCACCGATTTTTTTTAATGACGGTGGCGCGGCGTGTATTAGAAGCCGTTTAACAATATTTATATATTAAATTATTATTATTATTATAATTTAAATTTGAATTTAATAAAATGAAAATGAATTGTATTCTATAGCTATATAAAATAGAATAGTATATATCATTTACATTCATTCCTACATCATTTCATTTCTACAAACAATACATATATTTTTATGGACTTGCATGTTTTAAACTACTCTATATTTAATTATGAAATAATAACTCTCTCTACTAATCATAAATCAAGTTATGTATGGAGTTACTTTGGAAATCTTATTTTGAAGAATGAAAATAAGAAAAGCACAATAATGCCTGATTATATTTATTGTGAACCTTGCTTAAAATTGGGGAAGAGGAAGATTTGGATAAGCATAATCCATTTTCAAGTAATTTATTTTAATTTTAGACTTATATATTTATATATATAATTTATATTTTAGTAATGAAATAAAATGTTTTTGTAAAAATATAAGTACAAGTAACCTTTCTCGGCATTTAGTTAATGTTCATGAAATATCAAAAAAAATTAATAATAATAAATCCCAAAGTCTAAAAATGTTTTTAAAGCCAACACCAAGATGTAGCAACAATATAAAAGATAAAAATGGCTCTGTTTAGTATATTATTGTTTATTATTATTTATTTAAATTTTTAACTTGTTTGTTAAATTAATTTTTAAAGTTTAAAACAACTAAATTTTTAGTTTGTTTATTGTCAGCTCTATTTTGAGATCTTTTTAATGAATAATCCTAATATATAATTTATTAAATTAATTATGTAAAACTTTATGAAAGTTCAAAACTAAATCAAATTTCTTATTTGTTTCATTCCAGCTCTAATTATTTTGATGTTTTTTAATCTTTTTAATGTATAAAATAAATATGAAATCTAACAGGGCATGTTTTGATGTGCTGCTTAGATTTAATTCCATTTGATTCTATAAACAATAAGGGAATGACAGATTTTCTAAAGGTTTAAAATTTAAATAAAATGTTTATTAAAAAATAAATTTCCTAAAAAAATAGAAATATAAGATAATTGATTCCTCATCTGAATTTTCTAATAGGACAAACATTATCGGAGTGCGCTAGATTATGTTTCTTTATCTATAAAAGCACATGTCTTAAATCTGATTGATTTTGTACCAAAATTCTGTTCTATCACTTTTGATTTATGAACCGATCATTTCAAGCGTTGAAATTATATCATATTTAGTCTTCATCATTTAGATGAAAATTCTGATTAAAATATTTTATCCTGGCAACTAGAAATGTGACTCAAAAGCATACTAGGGAAACCATATCTGAGATTGATAATATTAAAGAGTAGTTCGATTTAAGGGCCAAAATAATACAAATGGTAACTGATGCTGGGGCCAATGTCAAAAGAAGAGTCAGATTGGAGGATTAGAAGCATCATTTATGCTTAGGGCATGGACTAATTTGGATACAGTTGATGGCATAAAAAAAGTTGCCAGAATTGATATTCTCATTAAAAAATATAGAGAAATTATTTCAGCCCTCAGATATCGAGTAGCTGATTTGGAATGTGAAATTGTGAATGAGCATCGTAAATGTCTGCAGTCAATTTATGAGACAGATACTTGGATATTGATGATTCTGATACATACCTTGATGACTATTTTGATATGTCTGATGAATAAGATAATAGAAAAGGCATTGCACAAACCAATATAATTAATACAAAAACTTTAAAATTAAATTGCCCTACCCGTTGGCACAGCATATTAATTATGCTAGAAGTTCCCAATGTAAACAAAATTCCTATAAATAATGTTCTAAATAATATTGGAAAAGAATCTTTAAGACTCTTTAATAATTGAATGAATATGTTTGATGAAATTTACGCAGTATTAAATCCATTCCGAGAGTCGGTGGATTTTTCCTCTCAAAAGTGATCGACAATAAACTTAGGGTTATTACTTTGTAGTGAAATAGAAACCCATTTCAGATATTATTTGCTTAAAAGAAAATATGAAAAAAAAGTTTGACCAAAAGTTTCCCATTACTAAACTACAAGTTATTTTATATTTTTATTAAAATTATATTTTAAATATTCGATATTAGCGACTCAACTTGATCCCTGATTTCAAAATCTTAAATTGTTTCATAATATTTAAATTCAAATTCTACGAATCCAATTTTTAATTAAACATTTAAATTTTTAGAGCATGATAGAAGTGTACAGAATGAAATTCAATATGAAGATAATGAGCAAATAGCCAGTTCTTATATAGCTAAAATAGCTCATAAACATTCCCTTCCAAACAACGATTATAACAATATTAGTATAGAACAAGAATGCCATATTTTGCTCAGCCAACATAATATCCCAGAAGAGGATGCATTAATCTTTTGGAAGAGAAAGCGACTGGAACTTCCTAGGCTTGCTAATTTAGCTAGGAATGATTTTTGTATACCTGCAACCAGTACACCCAGCGGAAAATTTTTCCATTGCTGGATTAATACTCAATGCAACAAGGACTTCTTTATGTCCCACTAATCTTGATAAAATACTATTTATTCATGACAATTATAATTTTTCTAAATCTGAATTCTGATTTATTATATTTCGTACTTTATATTATACTAGGATTCCAAATTTATATTTTATTTGTTATAATAAAAATCAATAGAATATTAATATGTGTTGTTTATGTGACTCTGATCTGAGTAAAAATTCATTTCTTTAGTCAATTTCTGAGAATGAGAAAATACATAAATTTAAATTGGAGTGAGACAGGAAATAATTTAAGAAATAAATTAAACTATGTTAACAATATGTTAGAAAAGAGCGCCCAAATAAATTATAAAAAATATAATATTTTAATTAAATTTATTAAAAAAAATACATTGATTTATAAATTAAAATCATTAAAAATATTTTAAAAATAATATCGAGCTGCCTCTGTCAACAATTTAGTAAGTGCGCCGAACGCCGATAAAAAATTAAAAAATAACGCCGCCGTCTATTGAGACATCGGCGCACAGGTCTAGAAATGTATATATTTATTTTATTTTTATTCTATTATAAATAATATACTATATGAATAGAAAAATATAGAGATTATATACCTAGAAATCAACATGCCCACATCGTATGTATGTCTTAAGGGGTGGGTAGATATGTATTTTTCCAAGTTTCGTTGATTCTGTACCATATTCTCATCAATAACCAAATCTTTCTATTAATCAATCATTTAATCAAGTTATAATATTTATAAATTAATACTGGATATGGAAACCAAGCAACCAACTTGAATCGGATGTTAATACGAAATAATAAAACTTCAAATATTTTGGAGAGCTATGAAATTAATAAGCAGATTTTAACAATGAACAATATTTATTAGAATAATTTTAAAGCGACAACCGATTAATTGATATTCATTTATCTATATTAAATACAAATTAACGTTTAACTTTTTCCCCAATCAGAATGATCATCTCCTCGGTTATATTATTGCTATCATGTTCATCTATAAATAATGCTCCTTCAATCACATATGATTTGTGCAAAATATCAATGTTATCTTCTCCCAATAATTTGGATGAAGATTTGCCTTGATCATCTAGATATTTTTATATAATATGCGTGGGCATATTTTTTATATGTTAAGTATTATATGCAAATTATAATAACTCTCAACAACAATATCATGGGAGCACGAAGGTGGCCTAAAAAATGAAATATAATACTGATTTTTAAAGATTAACCTTTTTATATTAAGGTTTTTAAGTTCATAATTTTAGAAAATAATTTTCATCAATAAAAAATGTTTTTTACATTTGAGATAAGTAGGTTTTATTATTGTGTGTAAAGAGTGTATACAGATTTTTAGATGTGCTCTTTAAATAACTTTTATTCTTAATATTTATGCCCTGTTTTCCTTTTCCTTTAGATGGAAAGAATATTTTCAGGAGCTTCTAAACTTTAATTCCCTCATACTACATCTAGACGAACACTCACCATGTCAAAACCTTGTACTACCTATAACAGAACAAGAAATAATCACATGCCTCAAGCATACGAAAAACAACAAAGCTAGGGGTCCAGATGATATTCCAATAGAAAGCCTTAAAGCACTAAGAGATGATGGAATACATTTCCTCACAAATCTATATAATAAAATACTTGGAAATGAAGAGGTTCCTCAAAAATGGAGGCAGAGCTATCTAGTTCCTATCTTCAAAAATAAAGGGGATCCATACTTTTATAGTTATTACACACGATTTATTTTTTTTGCTATACACGATTTCGACTCTTTATTTTACTTTATTAATATTCACACAAATTTAAATATATAATAATCTATTAATGCGGAAACCAAAAATTAATCAATTCAACAAAAATTACTAAAAAGAATTAATCAATCAATTATATATAAAAAAAAATCTAATAATAAATTTAATGCATGATTTTTCCCTTTTTAAAGGATTTTTATATTTTTTAAATTTTTACAAATAAATACAAATTTATTAATAATCTAATAAAAAATATATTTTTTATTATAATTATGACTCACGAAAATAATATTAATTTTACGACGTTGACTCAATAAAATAATATTAATTTTATGACGATAACTCAATAAAATATTATAAATTTAACGACGATGACTCAATAAAATATTATAAATTTTTATACGCTGACTAAAATAAAAAGACATATATAACACATACAATTTTCAAAACAGGGGCATAAAACTAATGTCACACTGTCTAAAACTATACGAAAGAATAATAGAAAGAAGATTAAGAGACATAATCGAAATAGGAGAGACCCAATTTGGATTTATGCCTGGAAGTGATCAACATCTGATGCTATCCACGCAATTAGGCAAATGAGTGAAAAATACAGGGAAAAGAACAAAAAGCTACACATGGTTTTCTCGATCTAGAAAAGGCCTTCGATAGTATCCCATGAAAACTTATCTGGTGTACGCCACAAAAAGGTTCCCGAAAAATATAAGAATAATACAGGATATGTATATAGGCCATATAACAATGGTCCGTAGCACAACACATACTTAGTAGACTTCACAATAGCCGAAGGAGTTCATCAAGGGGCTCTTAGCCCACTTCTCTTCATTACAGTAATAGATGTATTAGACAGTCTATACCTAAAACAGTCCCGTGGTATGATATTTGCAGATAATATTGTAATACTTGCCGAATCCAAAGATGAAATGAAAGAAAGATTAGTGAGTTGGATAAATATCCTAGAAAAGCACGGACTAAAGTAAATAGAGAAAAGACGGAGTATATGGTGATAGGAGGAGATGAAACAGAGAGTATTGATATAAATGAATGGCAGATATCGACAATTGAAGCTGCAAATATTTGGGCTCCACTATACAAACAAACGGCACAATAGAAAAAGAGATAAAGAGTAAAATTAATCAAGGGTGGTTAAAGGAGATCTTTATCTGGAGTGCTATTTGACAAAAGAATCCCACACAAATTAAAGGGAAAAATTTACAGTTCCATAGTACAACCAGCTATTCTATATAGTTCGGAAACATGACCAACCAAGGAATCAGATGAGTTAAGTCTACAAACTTTGGAGTTGAGAATGCTGATGATTGTTGGGGTAACAAGAAAGGATAAAGTGAGCAGTACAAGAATACTAAGTAGTTTAAAGGTAGCGCCCATTAAGACTAAGTTAATGGTAAACAGACTTAGGTGGTATGGGCACACAATGAGAAGGCCTATGAACTACATAGGAAATAAGGTTGAGAGTTTGGAAGTGATGGGCAAACGTAAAAGAGGAAGGCCAAAACTTCAATGGGGCCATAAAGTTAGAGCCAATATAAAGAAGTATAAATTAGATAAAAGAGATTTTATGAATAACATAAAGTGGAGAGAGATGTTGAAGGAGCTTACCACCAGAAAAGGTGAAAGCTAAAGAGAAAAAAAATGCATGCCCTGTTTGAGTGAAACTCGACACTAATCATGGTAAAATATTTGAGAAACGTAGAAGTAAATTAAAAATGAAAATTCTCAAAATGAGTAAAAAGTTTGTGGAGTGACCAATATAATAATAAGATATTTCTATCTTATGTTTAATTTTTGTGGTGATGTCATTTCTTCTTGAACCAGGGTTATAATTATAAATTAGGGAGTCAGCGGGGAACGAATATTTTGGGGGGAGCGGAAGTCAAATGACTACCGCCGAGAACCTATAAGTTACTTCAATGGCTCCTAAGCCCCCCCCCCTCCGTGAGCACAAGAAACAAAAACGCTGATTTAAAATAACACCCTAAAAATATGTTCGATAGTATTAATTTGCTCACCCTCTCCTCCTTTTAAATTAAATACTCAAAGATATAATAAAAAATCGTCTTTTTTGCACAATTTAAAATAAAATATAGCTACAAATTTTAACTAGAAAAATTGATAAATATAATTTTTCAATTTTATATTATAATATTTTTTTTAGTTTTGGCTAATATATTTCATACAAATTAGTATATTTAGGTTTGGGATTGGTCCAAACTTTTAGTTCAAACGTACGCTTAAAATAGAATAAATATATATTAATATATAAATATTTTTTAAAAATGGAATGAAATGGCTAAGTGAAATTAAAATTGTAGGAAAAGAAAATGGTCTTCTTCAACTTTTTGAAATATTTAGAAATTTTTCATTCAGAGTCGAGATTTAATCAGTTTGATTTTTACTCTTCAATGGTATAGCCATTAGAAGAATGTACATTTTTTCTAAACCTCTTCAAAGTTAAGAGATATGATGGTTTTTCCCATGATCAGTCTATCTATCATCCCTTTTACTTTGAAAGAGATATTTATTTTAAAAAACTTATTTTTGGTGAATGTTTTTGGCATTGTTTAAAATTGAAAGAAAATGAGAATTCCCTCCTTCTATTAGATCCCATGTTATTAAATTTGTCAGTTCTATATAATAATTTTTTGATAACCAATATTGCTTATGTGGTAAAACAATTAATGAAAATAAAATTGAAATGATAAAAAATATATTTTTTTGTAGGAATTTTTTCTTATTGAAGTCTACCAAGGTATATATCATATGCAAATATTATGAAGCAGTCATTTTGTACCCCCCCCCCCCCGTTATAAGAACCACTGAGTTACGGTCAGTTTAATTAACATAGAACATAGAATCGAATCCACTGAAAGCACTTAAATGGATTCAATTTCTGAGTTTGAAATTAAAACAAAGAAATAAATACAACATATTCCTTTGAAGAGGGAAATTATATGCTAATTGTATCCCTTATGTAGAGCTTTAACTTCTTAATATGAAAATGTAGCAAACCCTATATTTTTATTATACATTACAGCTCGACCAAATGTTATAGATGGCACCAAATGATTTTGATAAAATATCAGGAAAATTGTCTAATTTTTTTTCAATATAAAAAGTTCCATGAATTATATACTAATTGCCTTTTCTCCTCATTTACCAATTAAATAGAACTAAATTTTAGCATAAAGAAAAATCTGCCAATTGGGCGATGATAATAAATATTATTATTATTATGCATGTCAGTTAAATACCCAAAAGAATATCGCATAAAAAATTATTACTAACATTTAGCAGAAATCTTTTCTATCTATTATAACATACTTTATGATCGACATGAAAAATTATTTTGTTAATATTTTTAATTGGACCTTGATAGGGAAATCAAGATAACGAGATAGTTAATAGAGGTGGTCATAAAATTACTTTTTATTATATATGATTAGTATTGTTAAAAACCTCAATTTTTACCGATTTTTAAAACGGCCCAATTAAGATTTTCGCCAAAATAATATTATGTAGGCCTCAAGATTTGGCAAATAGAGGTCCAAATCTTTCTGCTATAATCAAAATCTTTAAGCTTACATAATATTATTTTGGCTCAAATCTTAATCGGGCCGTTTTTAAGAATCGACCCACGGGATTTTTAATAACACTAAATACGATGTTAATTTCATTTTAAAAAGTTCTAAACATAATAATTAGAAATATGAATGAATTTGAACCTTTTTGGAAAGTTGTCGACATGTCTACTCCTTTTATTTCGGATGAATTTACTAATTTATATTTTATAAATCTGTGAGGATAAGTTACCAGTTTGGTATAGTTGGCAGTCGCAGTCTCATTCCATATAGGATATACTTCAAAATGAAATTCGCCTATTGAAAATATTGTATCCTTCAAATATTAATATTTTTATAAAACTGATTTTTAATGATTTTCATGTTTGAAAATTTAAATAATCTATCAGTTAATTTTAATAATAAATAACCTATATAAAATTTTTAAAAACTATATTTTTGATTAAAAATTGTAAAGTCCAGTATATTAGGTATGACTGCCATTAATATTATGATTATATAGTGTCATAATATTTCACCATATAACACTCTGAAAGGTAGAAAATATAAATTATGTGGTGGCGATAGGTATCAATACATGTATAAATAAAATCTTACCAAACGCCCATTTTTAAATATCAAAGAAACGGGATAATTATTTCTGACATTGTTTTCTAAAACTGAAACATTGCCTTCGTATAAAGAGAGTCTGATATTTTCTAAGCTTTTCGCTTGCCGGCTTTCAATTCCTTCATTAAAGCTAGAATTAACTTTGAGTACATGGAATTGTAATTGACCATATTCGTAAGTTTGCATTCCTATGGTTATATTATCTGACCAATGATTATCATCCAATCTTATGGGAAAAACATATTCTTTTCCAACGCCCAGAGGAATTTTGCCACGAATGGCGCCTTTGTTCAAAAATATTTCTACTGATGTAGCGACAAATAAAAATAAAAAAACATCTTGTAATCATATTAAAAAATTGAATAGCATTACAAGGTGAGATGGCTTCCTGAGGAGTGTATTGGATAAGGATTAAATAAAATAGATAAATTAAGCTTATATAAACTTTCATGATTATATATTTGATAAAATTTAATATTTCATAAATGTTAAAGTATGATATCAAGGCACAAAAAAACTTAAAAAAATATCAATTTATATTATATTTAAATTTTATACAAATTGAATACAGATATGTTATCCTTTTAAAAAAATATATTTTATAACATTTTTAAAAATTCTTTTATAATTACTAATTAAAATAAATTTCAAATTTTCAAGGTTTTTCTCTTGTTGACGTGACAATTTTTTTTAGACATAAGAATGACCTTATAAACAAAGCAAAAAATTCATTCATTTGTTAAATAAACCGTTTGCCTTAATAATTTGTTAGCAATAAATATATAAAAAAATGATGAATTGATGTAAAAAAATTTCTTGGTCAAGTGTGTCGCTTTAAGTCCTTCGTCTATTAGTTTTTGCTTTCTATAATATTTAGGATATAATTTATGATCATTTGAAATGCCAATAACAATAATAAATAGAAAAAATTAGGGATATATCGTTAACTTACAGAAATTATTTTAATTCCAATAAAAATTATAATAACATGAAAAAAAAAATTGTTAAAAGTGAATACTGAATTTTTTTAAACAAAAATATCAAAAGTATCAGAATATTTTGTCAAGGAAAAAAGATGTGAAATTTTGTTGAAAATAAAATATTTGACACAAATATAAATTTATTAAAAATATTAAATAAATAGATACAAGAGAGATAAGCTTGTATTTTGGATACCTGTATTTGATGAACTGCCTAACTCTATTTGTCGCGAAAAACGATCTCTTTCCCAAAAGAGATAACCATGTCACTGACCTTTTAACCACCAACTTCACACATATATAATCTTGGAAGCTCATCAACCATCAATTTCATTAAACCGAAGCTCATAGAAATATAAAATAATTGGCTAAAGATAGGGTAATATAGTTTTCCGTCATTTATATATTAAGCTAACCCCCAAATAAAACATTTAGTGAAGCCAAAATTTATCTTACAATTTAAAGCGATATTTAAAATTGGTTTAATTTTAATTTTTAAAGGGATTTTTTTTTATTGGTTAAAATTTAAATAGTTCTCATGCATATTAGGTGCAGTAGTTTAATAGCTCTTAAATTTTTTCTTAGACAATCTTTTTAAGTAGCTAGAAATATTAATTAAATATTTTAATTATTATAAATTACTACTGAATATTTTTATTTGAAATAACAATTTAAAGGTCAATTTCTACTCATTACAATTCATCTATATGACATTTACAAATCTTTATACACACTTTTTTAATATATAGAAAATATAATTTTAATCAAGACAAAATTGAGCAAAATCTACATAATAATATCAAAGCAATATCATTACAAAAATACTATTAAATTTTAAAAGATAATGCAAAAATAATTTTTAAAAAATTATGCAAAAAATATTTGTTTTGTATTCATCATTGTAATATTAGTGTTAGACATAGGTCGTATTGATATGGAATTTATTGGGTCGGGATTCACTTCTCCCATTTTAGAATCATTTATTGAGAGCGATAAATCTAAAAAATCTGATTTGATTAGAAATATATTCCAATATATATAGTTACCCACGCTGTGAATTTCACACAATTTTCCGTAGAACTGTTGAAATACTTTTAATTTATATCCGTTTTTATTAGATTTTTAATATAAATTAAAAAATACACAAAAATTGTTTAATAGTATTTCTGTAATGATATTGTTTTGATATTATTATGTAGATTTTGCCTAATTTTGTCTTGATTAAAATTATATTTTCTATATATTATCTTTCTTTCTTTCTTTCTTTCTTTCTTTCTTTCTTTCTTTCTTTCTTGTAAATATCATATAGATGAATTGTAATGAGTAGAAATTGACCTTTAAATTATTATTTCAAATAAAAATATTCAGTAGTAATTTATAATAATTAAAATATTTAATTAATATTTCTAGCTACTTTAAAAAATTGTCTAAGAGAAATTTAAGAGCTATAAAACTATTGCACCTAATTTGCATGAAAACTATTTAAATTTAACCAATAAAAAAAAATCCCTTTAAAAATTAAAATTAAACCAATTTTAAATATCGCTTTAAATTGTAAGATAAATTTTGACTTGACTTAATGTTTTATTTGGGGGCTAGCTTAATTTATAAATGACGGAAAACTATATTACCCTATTTTTAGTCAATTATTTTATATCCCTTCTATAAGCCTCGGTTTTAATGAAATTGATTGTTAATGAGCTTCCAAAATTTTATATGTGTGAAGTTGGTGGTTAAAAGGTCAGTGACATGGTTATCTCTTTTGGGAAAGGGATCGTTTTTCATGACAAATAGTTAGGCAGTTCAGCAAATACAGGTATCTAAAATACAAGCTTATCTCTCTTCCGCTTTGTACCTATTTATTTAATATTTTTAATAAATTTATATATTTTACATATGCTGGAATATAAATCCAGTCAAAAAAAGTCTATATTTAAAAATCTGTCAGTAAATGATTTAAAATTAAGAAATTCAGAATACTATGGATTCCATATCCCAAAACGACACATAATTAAATTTCTAACAAAATTTATGATATTCCGGGTTATATGAGAATTAATCTCGGGCCGATTTATATGAGGAAAAATTTAATAAAATGTAAGAAATATTTTTAATATTTTATATTCCAGAGATAGGCAAGAAAGGGTAAGGTCAAAAAGTGAGTTAATCTCATCCTCTTTTTCTACGATTTGCAAATTAGAATTTTTAATAAAAATCATATAGGGAAGAGGGTATTTTCTTAATATTAGCACCAACCAAGGTTGCCAGGCCTCCCCTCATCAACGGGAGACTCTCTCGATTTTTAGGTTTACACGTAGTCATTTTTCTCCCGCAATTGGAAATCCCCCACAATTGTAAAATTTTTACCACATTAAATTTTTTAGCATTTTAACGTTTAAATGTATAAATAATAATTTTGAGAAATAGTATATAATTATTTTTACATTTTTTAAATAAATTTTTATTTTTTTTAAAAAAACATGTCTAGTTTGTCATTCCTTCTTTCTAATATGTTTTAACTAATAATAACACACTTGAGGTTTAATCGCTTTTCTCTAAATTATCATTATATTCATTTAAATATATATATCAATCATATCGGACTTATTATAAGATAATTATTTTATTTAATATGGGCGGCAATTAAAAATATGGAAAGAAAATTATGCCAATTATGGACTAAAAAAAATTTTGATTAAAATTTGTACCTAATCCAACCATGTAACAAAGGCGTATTGTAAAAAATTAAGCGTTTAATTTTGTACAGAAAATCGGTAGTATTTCCATTTTTTTAAGCGGAAGGGCAATTTCTAAATATCTTACTGGAATAAGTAAGGCAGTAATTCACTTATTTTATTTTATAACATTGCATATTTTGAAAGTTTAAAAAAATATATTAAAATAAATAAAGATCCAAATGAACTAATCAATTAATTATAAAAATATCTTGGGTTGACTTAAATAAATGGGCAAGTGAGTGGGTAAATTTTTGAAAAAAAATATAGGTGAGTTAAATATTCGAAACAATGGGTGTCGGGATAAAAATCCGCTCTTTTAAGACCTCTACTTTACTCCACTCTTGTTTGAGATTAATTATGTTAAATATTCATGTTGTTTAACCCTGGAATAACCCTGGAATACTAAACATACCATTCCAATATGTCCTTGTTGTATCATGTCTAACACGTCGGTGTTGTTGTGATATTATCATTTTAGTTCTCCACAGTAAACAAACTCTTTCTGTTGTAATTTCCTTTCATCTTTCGCTATATTCCCAAAAACATGTATTTCATCCAGGAAAATATTACGCAAGCCTGAAGATTTTTTTTCATATAAGGAACAAAGGTCTAGACATATATTATTGAAATCTCGAGGCTTAGGTGATACTTTTGGTTAAAATATTGAGTTAGCCGTTTTAAAAAATAGGCTTAAAATGAGCCGTTTAACAATACTATTTAGAGAGTAAATAATCTTGCATTGTATTTCTTTCAATTTCGCTTGCATTTAAAGGTGTTTGTTCTTCCTTTCTTCTTTTGATATTGTGGTTCCCTGTATAGGTGATTGATGCAGGGGAAACTTGCAATAACGTTGGGGTTAGAGTCGACAATCTGAAAACGATTTTGATAGTGTGACGATTATTATTTTATGTCGTTTTATTAAAAAAAATGTATATGTCGTTTTATTAAAAAAAAATGTATATTAAGTTTTGTTTAAGAAAAATGTATATGTAATTTTATTTAAGAAACGATGTATATATATCATTTTGTGTGTAAAAATTAATATATATATATATACGAATTTAATTTCCTATTTAAACAATTAACGTTAAAACTCAAAAATGAATATGTATAATATCCAATTATCATAACACAATACAATATAAAATAACGCCTTAAACATTAAAATAAAATTACAATCATGTAACAGTAATCGAGATAGCATGTCAGCATTTGCTAGTTGACGACTACTTTTGAATTCTATTTCATATTGGTAACCTGCTAATAATAAAGCCCATCTTTTTATTCCGCAGTAGATGTTGCTGGTATATCCTTTCTTGGATGAAATAAGCTTGTGGTCTGTTTGTAATGTGAACTTTTTTCCATATATAAATTCTTTGATTTTTATAAACCTAAATATGATTGGCAAGAGCTTCTCTTTCTATTTGGTAATAATTTTTCTCGGCTGCATTTAGCTTTCTTGAGGCGAATACAATTGGTCCCTCCCTACCTCCTTCTATATGTGATATTACTGCCCTAATTACTATGGCTGATGCATCTGTTGCCAGTATAATGAGTAATATTGGAGTACTACTTATTTCTTGCTTTATTTTTTTATACGTGTCTATGCATTCATTTGTCCAACTACCATTTTCCAATAATTTGTATAATGATTCGGTTTTGTCTGCAAAATTTGAAATAAATTTTGAATAGTATGTTGTGGACCCTAGAAATGACTGTAATTGTTTTAAATTTGTTGGTTCTGGAGCTTTTTACTGCCTCAATATTTTTTACTGTAGTTGTAATCACTTTTTTAAATATTGTGTCCTAAGTATTCGATATTTTATTTGAAAATTTACATTTTTCTATCT